GGCTGGCTTCAAACAACAAGCCTCAGATCTCAGCCTCCTCAGTAGCTAAGATTACAGGCATGAGCATTTGGCTCCCAGCAAGTTGTCATTGTATTAAATCACTCGGGTTCACAGTCATTTGTTACGAGCACTAGGCATGAATGCAGAAAACCTTTTTGAGGTGGTTATGTTGAGCTGTATCTTAATCTAGTTTCCACTGCTATAATTCAATACCATAGACTGAATAACTTATAAGGGATAAAGGTTTATTTTTTCCATGGTTCTGGAGATCCAAGAGACTCTATGAAGAATCTCTGGACAGACAATCCTATGGGGTCATAGGATCGTAAGGCATTATATGGCATAACAAGGCTTTGTGGCCCAGGTACCTCCCCTTCTTACAAAAACCTAGTCCTGTTGGGTTAGGACTTCATTTAACCTTAATTACCTCTAAAGCTCCTGCCTCTGAATACCAGTCAGCTCAAGTTTCTACCCTCTCCATAGAGCACAATGAGGATTACATTTCAACATGACTTCTGATGGGGACAGTTGAACCATAGCATCTTGGAAGCTGGCAGCCTTAGGAAGAATTGGAAGAGAGAGAACAAAGAAGAGGGGCTGGCAAACGCAATACCTTTCCCAGGAGTGCTGTCTGCAAGGTGGTAGAAGACCCCAGAGCAACCCTCCTGTAATTCCACAGCACAATTCTGTGGAGAGCAGGCTGTTAGGAAAGACTAGGAAGCAAGACTGTCTGGCTGGGGGAATGGGGTGGACTGGGAGGAGGTACAAACTGTCAGTTATGCATGACTATAATTCCAGCACTAAGGAGGCAGAGGCAAGAGAATTATAAGTTAAGTTCAAGGCCAACCTGGAGCTAAGCACCAGTGGCTCAAGCCTGTAATCCTAGCTATTGAGGAGACTGAGATCTGGAAATCACTGTTCAAAGCCATCCTAGACAGTAAAGTTCATAAGACTCTTTTATCTTTAACTAGTAACAAGCCAGAAGTGGAGGGGTGACTCAAGTGGTAGAGTACCAGCCTTGGGTGAAAAGCTAAAGGACAGTGCCTAGACCCTGAGTTCAAGCCCTGGTATTAGCACAAACAAACAAACTAGCCTAATTTACTATATAAACACATGCTAAAGGTACAGCCAACCAATCAATGAGAGAGAGAGATAAAGAAGAGAGAGAGAGAGAGAGAGAGAGAGAGAGAGAGAGAGAGAGAGAGAGAGAGAGAGAGAGAGGAGAGATAAGGTTAAGACCATTTAACTTAATCACTTAGCTACAGACTCATTTCTGAAATGGGTTTACTAATAGCTCTAGTCCCCTGGCCCCACAGAGCTACCTGCAAAGTATAAAGAAAATATAATGTGCTGCACTATCAAAGGCAGAGAGGCATGCCCCGGGAAAAAATAACAAGCTTTGCCCATTTAATGACTAGCCCTCTTCGAAGTGGTTCTTCATCTTCTCACTAATGTTTAAGGTCTTTTATTTTCTCATCTTCTGTTTTCACCCTAAACTCTACTCTTAGAAACAGCAGGAGTGATGATTGCAGATCCTTGGACTCCTGACTCACATCCCAATGCCTGCAACAAGTGGTTCTTTGTTTTTTTTGTTTCTGTTTTAGGAATTTTGTTTGTTCGATTTTTCAGTATGGAAGATTGAAGCATGGGCCACTTGAGACATGCCCTAGTTCTTTTTCTTAGCTTTTGTTTTTGTTTTCCATGCAGAGTTTTGTGATTTTGGCCCAGCCAGCCTTGAGCTATGATCTTCCTGTCTCTCCCTCTCTAGTTGCTGGCATTACAGGTATGAACCACCATGCCCAGCAAAAATTCTTATTATCCTCTCCTTACAAACTATCATTAATATGATGCTCCTCAGATCTGTTCCCTTTGGTCTCCCCATAAAGATTCCAACTTCCAAGTTTCTATTTTCTTCCCCTTTGGCCTTACTGTCCCTCAACTATCATGATGTGAACATTCCCAACAGGTGTGCTCAGCATTCACTTGAGCGCAGTTGGAAATGAAGGATGGAGAGGGAAGATGCCAGGGAGTAACCCTCTCTTCTCCTGCTTGTTATCATAAGCCCTTGCTAGGAACTTGCACACCCCAGTCAGCCAAATAGAACCCCTTCAGTAAACAACTATCTTTTTGGAAGCAAGCAAGCAAAACTCCCACTTCCCCTAATGCTTGTAATGTCCTATCTACCAGTCTGCTTCATACCAGACCTCTCCACATCTGGTCACAAAGAGTGGATCATAGCATGGATGTTTGATGGCCTTTATCTCTCCACTGCTAGATGTCCAGGGAAACATGTTTTACACTTGGAGAAATGGAACATTAGGCAAGAAGACAAAAGGAGTAATTTAACTTTGAGCTCACATCCAGGGTATGAAATAATCACAACATTTGGACAAATTTGTTTTACTTTGTTGTAAGATTGGCCTGTTTTGATGGCCTCTGAACGTTCCCACTTTTTTCTTTCTGGAGCCCTCAGATAAAAATGCACATTCAACACTATTACATTGCTTGTGGGAATGAACACTTATACAACCACTTTGGAAAGCAGTCTGAAGGGGCCTCAGAAAGCTAAATATAGACCTCCCCAATGACCCAGCCATACCACTCCTAGGCATCTATCCTAAAACAACAGAAACCAGGATACAAGGACACATGCACCTCCATGTTCATTGCAGCACTGTTTACAATAGCCAGGATATGGAAACAACCCAGATGTCCCATTACAGATGAATGGATAAAAAAAATTGTGGTACCTATATACAATGGAATAATATGTGGTCATTAGAAAGGACAAAATATTGGCATTTGCAGGGAAATGGATGGAACTAGAAGAAATCATGTTGAGTGAGGTAAGCCAAGAGCAAACAGAGAAATGGCACATGGTCTCCCTGATAAGTAGATGTTAAATCCAAAACGTAAGGAGATAGAACAAAGTAAATCGACTAGAGAAACAAAGGACCTCCACTCCTCTGGCCGAATCATGACTAAATGACCCCATGCTGCTGACCACATATATGATATATATGTGCACATCGGAGGAAAAGTAGGAGGAAGACGCAGAACTAGAGGGAAATGGGAAAACATACAACAGTGGGACCCATCAGCTGCACTGGACATTGATCAAAACGAACTAAGCAACTCAATGGCAGTGATGGGAGGGAGGGAATGAGCAGGAAAGAGGGAACAGCTGACACTAAGCAAAAGGAAAAAAATGTACATGTGGAAGAAATAACTGTATCGTCAAAGCTCATAGAACTCATAAACTTTATAGACCACGATAAAGACAATTTGCCCCATGACAAAAATAAAAATAAAATAAAATATACTATCAAGCCAGGGGAAGAAAAAAAATGCACATCCTACATTGCGACAGGAAGCCAGTATCTGTTTATACATATTTCCAGAGCCGAGAAAAAAGCCACGAACAAAAGCAACCCTTCCTTCCAATACTGTGGCTTCAAATTTTTAATTAAACACATTTTAAAAACTAATGTTTACAGCCAGGTGACAGTGGCTCACACCTGCAATCTAGGTACTCAGGTGACAGTGGCTCACACCTGCAATCTAGGTACTCAGGTGACAGTGGCTCACACCTGCAATCTAGGTACTCAGGAGGTTAAGATTGAAGGATCGCAATTTGAAGCCAGCATGAGCAGGAAAGTCCATGAGACTCTCATCTCCAGCAAGTGGAGGTATGACTTAAGTGATAGAGCATCAACCTTAAGTGAAAAAGTGAAAGAAGAACCCCTGGGCCTGGAGTTCAAGACCTAGTATTGGCATCTAAATAAATAAGCTGCTGCTGCTTATAACCCATTAAGTGGATTTTGTGACCTTCTTTGGTTTCAACTCAATTTTTAAAGAATACTACCTTGCAGGTTTCAATGAGATAATGCAAGTAAAGGGTTTGATCCAGAGGACATCTCTCTAAATGAAAACTTTGAAAAATACTTTATTAAGGGCTATTTCCATGCTGGAATGTGAAGGGAAAGTCTGATAATGAATAAAATACCCAAAATCCTAACAAGGAAAGAATTCCAGTGCAGCTTAAGACTTTCCTAACTCTCATCTTTGCATAATTGGTTTCTTCTCAGCCATCTTGGGGTTCTCAGGTCAAATGCTGGGGCTCAGTGAAGTCCTCCCACAGAACACTGGCTCTGCTATCCTTCCTTGACTTCCCTGGATCGGGTTACTCTACTGCCTCCTTATCTAAAATCAACTACTTATTTGCATGCTTCTTGCCTGGTGTGAAAAGTCTACATGGAAAGTAAAGAGATATTTTCCATCTTAAGGCTAGGAATCTGACTTGCTCCTATCTGTCCCGGATAAACAAGTTGCCCAGCAGGTCCTTCAGTGAATAGTTCGCCAACAGATGAATGACCACCAGGAAATAAGCAGAGGCATTGTGATAGATATAAATGTAGCAAGCCCTTCCATTTGTATAGGCATTGGAGCTTACACTTTGCCTTCTTTATGATTTGTGAAATTTGGATAATTTGAGAAGAAATAACCAAGACAGGAAGGCTTGCTTAAGGGCTTGAGTATCTAGGAAAGAAGTACCATAATTAAGGAAATTCGTTATTCGGGGTTCTAGTTAGTTCTGTCAGTATTTTATTTCCACCTTGACCTCGTTGAGGACAAGGCCAGCTTTGTTAATATCTGTATCCTTCATCAGCGTCCAGAACACTGCCTGAAAGTTAGTAGGCGCTCCATCACCATGTGAGGAATGAAAGAACCAAGGAGGGAACTCTGAAGAATACCGACGCAAACCTACTAGGTTTGGGCGGACTGCAGTTCCTCCCCGGGACAGGAGGCGACGCCAGCGTTACGTTAGCGCGGCCTCGGGCAATTCTTGGCCCCTCCGGCTGGCCGTCCATCGCTGAGTTTTTGTTCGTGCAGAAATTAGCCAATAGAAACCAACCTTAGTTAGTTGGTCCGGTAGAGATGTCCAATGAAAGCAGCATGTTTAAGAAAGGGGCGGGAAAGAGGGACGGGACCGAGGGAAGCGGTTGGCGGAGGGAGTTGGCGCTACAGGCCAGGTGGGGGCCGCGGGCTGCGATGCGGACGGCGCCGGGGCGGTGACCGCAGCTGCCGCCCGACATGAACTCGCTGGAGCAGGCGGAAGGTAGGGCGCGTCGCCAGGGGCCACACTGGGGACCCCGGGGAGGCGGCGGAGGGCGGGGAGGAGGGACGGGCCCGGACGCCGGCGGCCGCGCCTCCGCTCCCCGGCCCGGCCCGCGCGCCCCTCCGGGGGCTCCGCGTTCGTCCTTCGCTCCTCAGTGGTCGTACGTGAGCTCGTTTTCTTCTTCTGACAACCCCCGGGGTCGGCGGCCCGAGGTGTTCCGGGCTTCTCCAGTGCCTGCCGCCGTCAGCAAGAGCGCCCGGGTGCAGTTCCACCCCATCTCTAGTCGGAGGGAGCGCTTGGACACCCGCCTTAGCGCAGGCCGTGGGCGCCGCGGGGATCACCTGCCAGCCTGGGAGGGGGAACGGAGGGTGTCTGCCCCGCACCCCGTCCCCAGTAGCCTGGGGTCTAGGAAACCGGGCGGCTTTGCCGTTAACCCCGCACGGATGCCCGCGCCGGGTGACCGCGATCTCTGACCGCCGTGGGGTACTGGGAGAAAGTTGTCCGTTTCCGCAGAATAGGAGGAGCTCGAGCCTGGTCTGGGTCCTTTTATGTGCAAGCTCTCCCCTCTCCCCCACGCCTCAGATCGATCCCAGCTCTTCACGGCTTGTTTGGAAGCTTCTCAAAGTAAAATCCGCCCAGTGTCCTGTGTGCGAAATCGGGAGTCGTGTTTTCATCAATGTGCTTAAAACTGTCCTCGTAAACAAACTTGTGTGAGGAGCAGGGGGAGGCTGGGAGGCCGGGGCAGACGACCGAGAGAGGTAATGTGCAAAGTGCATTGGTGAAGTGGAACTTGGAAACTAGAGGAGATGGGTGGGGTCGGGAGAAATGCGAGGGGGGGAAAAGTACGGAAGGGGCACCGTACTCACAAACTGACTTGCGGAATTGAAATCCCCTTTGTACAACGACTTAAAGATAATTGTTTAATATTTTGAAACTGTCTTAGGTGTCATTTGGTGGATAAGACCTGAATCAGTTAACCATGTAAAATGTCTTCTCAGTAGGTTCAAACTAGTAAGCTTGGCTAATCAGAGAACTGAAACATTTCTTCCTAGACCTCAAGGCTTTCGAGAGAAGGCTTACTGAATATATTCACTGCTTGCAGCCTGCCACAGGACGTTGGAGAAGTAAGTTGCCATATATTTTAAGATAAGGTGGTACTTGATCATTTTATTCCCAAATAGGATTGAGTCAGTGCTTGCTTTATTAAACTATAAGGGTCCTCTTTATTCAGACAGTTTTAAAACTTACTTGACCATTGTAAACAAGGGGCTGGGAAGGTGGCTCAGTAGTAGAGTGCTTACCTTGCATGCATCAGTCCCTGGGTTCAATTCCTCAGCACCACATAAACAGAAAAAGCTGGAAGTGGCTCTGTGACTCAAGTGGTAAAGTGCTCACCTTGAGCTGAAGAGCTGAGGGTCAGCTTGCAGGCCCAGAGTTCAGACCCCACGACCAACCCCCCCCCCTAAAAAAAAAAAAACCACTGTAAATAATGCATTACAAAGATATATCTATGACAAGGTTATGTAAACTGGTTACCCTAAAAGAACCAACTATTCTATGTGGTTGCATTTTACATTTTTCTACGAAAACATATACTTTAACTTTTCATTAAATATTGTAACTTTAGTAACACACAGTGAAAATTTCAGAGGCCTGTTTAGTGGTTTTACTATTTGTGTACAACCTTTTGAAGTAATTGTGTGTTTCTGTTTTTAATTTTTTGAGCCAGGTGCCAGTGGCTCGTGCCTGTAATCCTAACTACTCAGGAGACTGAAATCTGAGGCTCATGGCTCAAAGCCAGCCCAGACAGGAAAGTTTGTGAGACACTTATCTCCAATTAACTACCCCAAAAGTCAGAAGTGGAACTGTGACACAAGTGATGGAGATCTAGTCTTGAACAAAAAGCTCAGGGACAGCGCCCATGGCCTCAGTTCGAGCTCCAGGACTGGCACACACACACACACAAAAGCAAGACATTTTGACTGGGGATGTGTGGCTGGGAGAGTATGTGCTTAGCATTTGTGATGCCTTGCATTATGTACCCCCCAAAAATTCATATTTAATGTATGCTTGCAAAATTTTAATGTTTCCCTTATTGGACTTTTAATTAGGTTGGTTAGTGTGTGTGCATGTCAGTGTCTCTGTCTGTCTGTGTCTGTGTCTGTTTTGGTGGTACTGAAGTTGGATCTCAGGGCTAGGCAAAGCAGCCACTCTATATACCACATCAGCCCTACCTTCAACCCTTTTTCATTCTACTTATTTTTTATGTTGGGTCTTGCTTTTTGCTGGGCTGGCTAGAGTATGATCCTTCTATTTATATTTTCTATCATTTGGATGACAACATCACACTGAGCATTTGTTTTTGATCAAGATAAGGTCTCAAACTTTTTTGCCCAGACTGACCTGGACCAATGATTCTTCTGATCTCAGCTTCCCATATATCTCTAGTTGACTTTTTTTGCCAGTCCTGGGCCTTGAACTCAGGGCCTGGGCACTGTACCTGAGCTTCTTTTGCTCAAGGCCAACACTCTACCACTTGTGCCACTGTACCACTTGAAGCTTTTTCTGTTTATGTGGTACTGAAGAATCAAGCCCAGGGCTTAGAGCCCAGGTAAGCACTCTACCACTAAGCCACCTTCCCAGCCCATAATCTCAGTTCTTTTTTTGATTTTTCTTTTTTTTTTTTTGGTTGGTCGTGGAGCTTGAACTCTGGGCCTGAGTACTGTCCTTGCACTCTTCAGTTTAAAGCTAGCGCTCTACCACTTGAGCCACAGTGCCACTTCTAGTTTTCTGGTGGTTAATTGGAGGTAAGAGTCTCATGGACTTTCCTGCCTGGGCGGCTTTGAACTGCAATCCTCAGATCTCAACCTCCTGAGTAGGTAGGATTACAGGCATGAACCACAGTCAATCTAGTTGATTTTTATAATATAACCTACTGGTGTTGCTTTGGCGCCTGACTCTGAAAAGGAATGTATGTTATTCCTATCTTTTTGTAAATATTTAAAGTTTTACAAAGTATGATTTGAATGAGTTGTAATTACTGTCCCATGGAAAGATACTGTTTAAGAAATGTGGACAAATACACAAGTGATAAAATATTCTTCTGTTTTGATATTGGGTCTCACTTTTGTTCAGTCTAGCCTTCAATACCTGGGCTCAAACTCTTCCTGTCAACCCTCTTCAGTAAGCTCTAGTAGCAGGCCATCATGTGTTGCTTTGGACAAGTCCTAATGTCTTTTTTTTTTTTTGCTGGTCATGGGGCCTGAACTCTGGGCCTGCGCACTGTCCCTCAGCTCTTCAGCTCAAGGCTAGTGCTCTACTACTTTGAGTCACAGCTCTACTTCCAGCTTTTTCTGCTTATGTGGTGCTGAGGAATCGAACCCAGGGCCTCATGCATGCAAGGCAAGCACTCTACCACTGAGCCCCTTTCCTAGCCCCAAGTCTTAATATCTTGAATGTTTGCTAAATTCAATTTAATTAGGAGGAAGTAAAGCCAGCCTTGGTGACTCACACTTATAATCCTAGCTACTCAGGAGGCTGATATCTAAGGATCCTAGGTCAAAGCCAGCCAAGACAGAAAAGCCCATGAGAGTCTAACCTCCAGTAAATTACAAAAAAAGCTCGAAGTAAAGCTCTGGCTCAAATGATAGAGCACTGGCCTTGAACAAAGAAGCTCAGGGACAATGCTCAGGCCCCAAGTTCAAGTCTCAGGACTGGCACACGCGCGTGCGCGCACACACACACACACACACACACACAAGTAAAATAGCACATACCTTGAAAGTATACCTTTGGACATACCTTTAGACTATACCTTTGGTCAAACCCAGTGTCTAGTGCATGAGATGAAGTGCTCTACTACTGAACTGCATCCCTACCATGATAATGTACTTTATTTAAAGTGTAACTTGCTTTGCCAGAGCAAAAATAAGAGATTTTTTTCCCCCTAGGTCAGGATTTTTTTCTGTGTAATTTGTGAATTGTAATCATATACTGTGAGAATCTTGATCAGCCAGATTTATAAGTTATGATTTTTCTTATTCGCTGATTTATCTGGTTTTACAGTTCCTTGAAAGTCTTTCAAAATGTATTCCATGCTTCCCTAGCTTGCAAAGTGAAAGGTCAAGAGCACACTCTTCCTGACTCATGTCTCAGTGCTGCAGATAAGAGACAGCTTGTTTAACGTAGTAATCAAATAAAAGCACATAGATGAATCTTCTCTAGTGTTTTCATTGTTACTTTATTTTTTAAAAATAAAAGTACCAGTGGCAGTAATGCTAGCTACTCAGGAGGCTGAGATCTGGAGGATTGTGGTTTGAAGCCAGCCTTGGCAGAAAAATTCACTAGACATCAACTCCACAGGTAACCAACAAGAAGAACTGAAAGAATGGCTCAAGTTTTAGAATACCAACCAGCAAACTTGAGGCCCAGAATTCAAATCCCACCACCACAAATTTTGCCTATGTAGTCTTGTATATTTCATTCTAGAAATACAGATTACAATAAATTGAGTTTAGTTTGTTCATAGTTCAAAACACAATTTTGATATTTTAATTCTTCTGTTAAATACCTAAAATGAATTTTTTCCAGTTTATCTGTGTCACTAGGAACTTTAAATGGCTAAGGTTTCCTATATCTATTGCTTTTTTTAAACTTAATCTCCACATTTGAAAACTAGTTCATCTTCACTGAGAGATGAGCAGCTATCCTCATCTCAGAATATTAACTACATTGTGGGGCTCTGTTACTATTCTCTGATGTTATTCTTCAGTTTTATTATGATCTGTTTAGAATTTCTAAAATAATTCTAGCTTAATGTGGAGGGATAAATTTTTCTAAGTTCTACAAGCCCTGATTTCTGTCCTGACTTTTGTTTAGGTTGTAAAAGAAAATCTGATAGTGATTGGTCTGCTCCACTGACCCCACACTTCTAACAGCGACCTTTGTTTAATTCCACAGCAGGCACTTGTCTGCATGGCAAAGTCCTTAGTTAGAATCCCAGTACATTAAAAAAGGAGCCTTTGTTTGGTTTGTATACACTTGAAAAATGAATTAAAAAAAATTTTTTTTTAGTTTTAGTTTGCAAGATGTGCAAAAATCAGCTTAAAACATAACACAGTTATATAACAGAGTCTTATCAAAGTTTCACCATCTGGTTTCTTTTAATTTCATTAATCTTCATTCTCATTAGTTCTAACTAAGTAACAAAAGGTAGGGTACCCCAATTACAAAAGTTTACAGTGTTAAGAGAATTCTTCAAGGCCACATGCCAGGTCTTCCAGTTCTTGAGTCCAGTCAGTGTGTTTTCCATTTAAGAATGTGTTATGCTCTTTGGCTGCCCCTTGTTTGTTAGGAGCTGGTGGTGGTTATGAAATATGAGGGTATGTTTGCTCACTAACTAACTTCGTGTTTATCTTTCATCAGTGCTGCTTATAGTGGTATCTGTCTGTACAGCTACTGGTGCCTGGAACTGGCTAATAGATCCTGAAACACAAAAGGTAGACATTTTGTTTTAAAATCTTGAGTAGATTAAATGAGATAATGGATGTAGTGGTGCTTTGTTAATTTAAAATATCAAGCAAGGCTTCCTGTAACTACTACTAATGATATTAACTCTTACATTAAATATATGCCCTTGTAGGTACTGGTGATCATGCCCATAATCCTAGTACTCAGGAGGCTGAGATGTGAGGATCCCAGTTGTTAGCCAGCCCAGGCAAGAAAAGTCCATGAGATTGTTATCTCCAGTTAACCACACAAATACTGGAAGTGAAAACTGGGAGAGAGCAAGGGAAGGGATGACATTGTCGAAAACAAAAAAAGTACTCTTTACCTGAGTTACATAACTCTGATCCCTTTGTACTTCACCTTTATAATAACTGTATATATGTAATATATGTGTGTATATATATATATATATATGTTTTTTTTTTAAGCCAGAAGTGGAGCTCATATGGTAGAGTGTTAGCCTTGAGCAAAAAGAAGCCCAACCAGGCCCTGAGTGCAAGCCCCAGGACTGGCATCAAAAAAAAAAAAAGAAAAATTACACACATATGTATATATGTGTGTATATATGAATATGTGTGTGTATATATATACACACACATATTCCCTAGATTAATTTGCCTATGAAAGTCTTTTAGCTGGCTCTTAAGAATTAAGTATCTTTTTTTTAAGAGAAAAGGACTAAGAAGTGTTATTTCAATTACATATTTCTTAATTTATCTCAATTTCTGTGCAGATTTCATATTTTTTTACATCTCTCATTTTTCTTTTTTTCATATGAACATTCTCTTCATTCTACTTTGTTCGTTTAGCATTGTTAATGCCAGCTTTCAAAAAGTATGGTATTTTATTTGAATAATCTCTGTTAATACTTTACTTCACTCCAAAAAGCCATTTGCATTTGAGATGACTTTAAGAGAAACATATGACTATCACAATATATGAGTGATAAAAAACAAATTAGACCAGGAAGGAAAGCAAGTCACTAGTATATAGGCCATGGGCCTTGCCACAGTTGCTAGAATTGAGGTATAAATTAATCTCAGAGTCACGTAATGAAGGAAGTCAAGGTTAGTTCTGTGCTTTTCATTTCTGTGAGGAAAGCACACAGATCAGAGACAGATCTTTGAGCTGTCGAGTGTTTGGTGTTTTTTTTTTTTTCTCAGCATTTATCTCAGAAATTTCCTGCCTGGAGTTTAATATAGGAAATGCCAAGAGATCTCCCATTGGGCACTGTGTAGGAACATCCTTACACCAAATGCAATAACTGATTTCATAATGTTATTTCTTGAAGCACTCTTTGATGAAAGCCAATAAAAATTCTCTTAATTTCTGCCTCCTTCTGCTAACTTGCGCCTTAATTTCAAACTCGGACTTTTTTTAAATTAGAGTTAAGAGACTCCAAAATTTCAGTGAACTTTTTTCCCTCTGATGCAGTTTTATTTGAGTAACAATGTTAAAATTTTTGAAGAGTCTTTATCTCTTTCCCCTTTTTAAACCAAGCAGACATTTTGTGTAGTTTTACTTACTACTCTTTAAGTTACAGAGAAGAACCTAATGTTAAGTCTAGGTGGCATTTCCAGCAGGCTGGGGTCACTTCACAATGTGTCCTCTGATTGTCCTCTGAAGGGACCAGAGTGGGCAAGGATGGAAATGCATGTTAATAGAGGGGTTTTGTGGCTGACAGGGAACTCTCCTGTGTGCTCACTTACAAAAATGGGATCTGAAGGCTGCACTGAGTACTCATCTTCAGGCAGTCCTGCCAAGAAGATTGAAAAATCTGTCTTGGGAAATGAATCTGACTTCTAATTGGGAAAAATATAAGGTGATTTCAGCTAGTTGAGATCTTAATAAAACACAGAATTAAATGTAATTTGAAATAGGCTCAAAACTATGTAGTTAATATAATTCCTAAATTAGGTGAGAATGTAGCTATTAGCCTGAGGGTTGGCTCTTCTTAATTTAGTATTTAATAATCCTAAACCTGACAGGAGTGTTAACCAGCAATTGTGTCTCAAGAAGGTACACAAACACAAACTAGTAGCTAGCTGGAAGAAACTAGGGGGAGTAGTAATGTGACAGACACTTGGTCACAGGGGATACCTGGGGTTTAGATATGCAGTTGGTTGCTCTGGAGGGAAGGAGGTTAATACCAACTGACCTAATTCAAATAAAACCATAAAGCTGGGTACAATGGTTCATGTCCGTAATCTCTTCACTCAAGAGCACAGAAAGTGTCAGAATAGCCTGGGAAACTACATAGTAAGATCTTGTCTTAAAAAAAAAAATTACAGGTTCATTCATACCTCTAGTCCTAGCTACTCAGGAGGCTGAAATCTGAGGATCACATTTGAAGCCAGCTCAGGCAGGAAAATCAGTGATTCTTATCTCCAGCTAACTACCAGAAAGCCAAAAGTGGAGTTATGGCTTAAGTAATAGAGAAGCAGCCTTGAGCAAAAAAAAATTCAGGGATAGCACCCAGACCCTGAGTTCAAATCCCAGGAATGGGGCATGAAAACATCTGCTAACATTGAGCAGACCACTGAGCTGAACTGTGGGAATGAAAATGTTCTCAAAGGTTCCAAGAAGACGCTCCTCCGATTACCCTTTCTTCAGGATCCCATCTTTACGGAGCTTTTCCTGATGTTTTCAGCGTCTCATTTCTTTTATGACTTTGCTGAACCACCTACTGGTGTTTTGGGTGGGTTTTGTTTTGTTTTGTTTTTTCTGTTCTGAAATAGGTAGTGTGTCTTAAAACATGGCACCTCTTAATTCTGTTGCTCCCATGTAGTTACTAGCTTGAATTTTTTTTTTTTTTTGCCAGTCCTGGGGCTTGAACAGGGTCTGAGCACTGTCCCTGAGCCCCTGTCCCTAGCTTGTGTTCAAGGCTAGTGCTCTAACACTTGAGCCACAGCACCACTTCTGGCTTTTTCTGTTTATGTGGTATGGAGGAATGGAACCCAGGGCTTCATGCATACTAGGCAAGCACTCTACCACTAAGCTACATTCCTAGACTTGAATTCCTTTTTTAGGTGCTCCTAGCACTTGTCTTCTCTTTGGTTTAGGTTTCTATTCCCCAACTGTGTGGCTTGGCTCCCACTCTTGTTCCAGTTGTGAATCCTGGTCTCTTGTCCCTCTATATAGTTTGAGAATTTTATGTTGTCTGGTTTTGTACTATCATCTCATTATACGGAGGCAAAGGAATCCTGTTCTTCTCTTGAGTTCTAGTTCTTTACAGACAGCTTCTAACCATTTTTCCCCCTGCTTGAGTGTCCCACATCTGTAAAGATCTTAGTAGCTTCAAACCAATTCATTTGTTGCTTTGAGGAAGGAGGGTAATACATTACCAAGCTGAGGATTTGTATGTAGGATTTGGAGGGGTGGGAGGTATGTGCATAGGGGTGTGACAGGAAGTGGCGATTATACTTGGGACTGGGGTGTGCATGGTTGAAGTTGCCCAGCTCTCCAAAGGAAGTGTTGGGCAGGGTGGTAACTAGATCACATCTGACTTGTGTTTTTCTTGAGACTAGAAGCTTTACCTTCATTCATTGAACACAGAATTTAATAACTTTTTTGGTAGGATTTTTTGATTAGAGGACTGAAATTGTTTGGATTCAGGTGTTTGAAGTAGAGTGTTAGTGTTTTGATATATAGAAGATACAAAACATACATTGTAGAAAAGAGGCTGGGAATGTGGCTAAGTGATAGAGTGGCTTTAAAAAAAAAGAAAGGAAAGAAAACAGTAACCATTGGTGAACTTAAAATGTTCTTATAGCATAGCAGTAGAGAACTAGGGTTATGCGAAGTCTTCAATGATAACTTGTATATTACATCTATTTATGCAAGGGGGTATAGGAATCATTGTTCTAAGAATGTAACATTGTTACATTTCATCCTTTTCTTTTGCAGGTGTCCTTCTTCACATCATTGTGGAATCACCCATTTTTTACTATTAGCTGTATCACTCTAATAGGCTTGTTCTTTGCTGGAATACACAAGAGAGTAGTTGCACCATCAATGTATCCTTAACCATGGATAAAGCACTGTTCTCAGTAATCTGAGTGATTGTTAGATGTTGCGTTAGTGACAGAATATCTGAGACAAGCAATTTAAGGAAGAATTATTGTGACTGAAATTCTGGAGGCTTCAGTCATTGGTCAGATGACTCCATGGCTTTAGGCTATAGTGAAGCAGATATCATGTCAGGGAAGTGTGCAGGAGCAGAGCTGCTCACTTTGTGGCAGCCAAGAAATGAAAGGAGACAGGAGGGAGCTGAGGAAAAGATACACCCTTCAAAGGCATGCCCCTGGTGACCCATGCCTCCAAGTGAGGCCCTACCTTGTAATATCCTATTAGCAGTGAACTGGCCAGAGGATTGATCATGATCTAATCACTGCCAGCTGGGATCCACGCCTCAGTAAGAGCTTTTGGGGTATATTTCATAACCAGCCCATTACAGAAGCTTGCTTTTGAGACAGAATTTTCCTTTGACCATATTCATTCAGTATAGCTGCTCGATGTCGAACTGTTTTGGCAGAGTACAATATGTCTTGTGATGATGTAAGTACTTTTTTCATTGGAAAACTGTAAAACTGCATGGAAGAACTGAAATGTTGAATTAAAGCAGTCATTTGAACTTGGTATGGTGGCACACTCTAGTAATCCTGACATTCCCAGTGCCTGAGGTGGGAGGGTTATGAGTTCAAAAAAACAGGAAGAGTAGACTGTAGACTGTGAAATTAATAGACTGTCACTTACAGAATTGGTTCAGACTTCTGCAGTTGTGATGCTCCCAATAATGATGCAATGAAATTGGCCAAGTCGGCCACTTAATCTTCCTTACTGACATAGAATCATGATGCTTTTTTGTTGTTGTTCATGGAGCTTGAACACTGGGCCTAGGCGCTGTCCCTGAGCTCTTCAGCTCAAGGTGAGCACCCTACCACTTGAGCCACAGCACCACTTCTGGTTTTCTGGTGGTTAATTATAGATAAGAGTCTCACAGACTTTTCTGCCTGGGCTGGCTTTGAATGGCGATCCTCAGATCTCAGCTTCCTGAGCAGCTAGGATTACAGGTATGAGCCACCGGCCCCCAGCTTTATGATGCTTCTTAAAATGGCACTCATTTTAAATTTACAAGACTTGAGTGTCAGGGTGTAGTTCAGTGGTAGTGTAAAATTCTGAGAGCAAGAAAATCCACAGAGGTACACTTAAAGGTGACAAAGGAGTTTTATTAGTCAGTCTGCAACTGCCCTATCCTGGGCTACCTCAAACTAGGAGCAGCTGCAACCTCCAAGGGGCAAGTTTTACTTTTTCTTTTGCCCTCCTTTCCCTCCTATCCCACAGGTCTTGCCTCTCTGCAGGCCCTTCAGCTCTTTGTGAGCCTCTCAGCTTCCCCGCTTGCCTCTCCACCAGCCTCTTCACCTCTCCGCCCGCCTCAGCCCACCTCTGTGCCTCTCCAGACCTCTTCACCTCTCTGTGGGCCTCTCTGATCTTGACAGGCCCCTCCACTCTGCATAGGTCCCTCAGCCTTATACAGGCCTCTCCTCCAGCCCGAGTCTCCCCTCAGGCCGGCCTGTGGGAGGCCTGGTTTAGTCCTCATCAGCACAAAGAAGGTGCTAGAATAGAAGGTGGAGAAAGATACAGAAGTAGAAAGATGGCAAAAGTAGAAATACAAATGACCAGTAAGCTTACATAAAAAGACTGGACAGATGGCTGGGCAAGATATCACGTGCCTGTGGGCCCAGCTACCTGTGAGGCAGATACATTGGAAAACTCATTTGTAGTTGAGGAAATGCAAAGTAAAACAATGAATTTCCATTTACTTTATCTGATTGGTAAAAGTTATAGCTATAACCATGTGCTGGTGGCTCATGCTGGTAATCCTAGCTAGTCAGGAGGCTGTGATCTGAGGACTGCAGTTTAAAGCCAGCCCGGAGGGGAAAGTCCATGAGACTCTTATCTCAATTAATCAACAAAAAGCTGGAAGTGGAGCCTCATGTGGTAGGGTGCTAGCCTTCAGCAGTAAAACAGCTCTGACAGTGCCTAGTCCCTGAGTTCAAGCCTCAGGTCCAGGAAAAAAAAAAAAGCTACAAGTATATGTTGATAGCTCTAGTACTAGAAAATGCTTGCTGGGCACCAGTGGCTCACGCCTATAATCCTAGCTACTCAAGAGGCTGAGATATGAAGATCACCGTTCAAAGCCAGCCCAGGCAGGAAAGTCCATTAGACTCTTATCTCCAGTAAACCACCAGAAAACTGGAAGTGGCGCTGTGGCTCAAGTGGTAGAGTGCTCACCTTGAGCTGAAGAGCTGAGGGACAGTGCCCAGGCCCAGAATTCAAGCCCCAGGACTGACAAAAAAAGAAAAGAAAATGCTGTGTTGGGAATATAAATTGGTGTAACATTATGAAGCATTTTTAAAATTATTCTTTTTATCACTTATAAAGGTTTTTGTTTGTTTTTTTGCCAGGGCTGACTTCTTAAACCATGATCCTCAGATCTTAGCCTCCTAAGTAGCTAAGATTACAGGTGCCCAGCTATAGATATAATTATGCCTGGTGTGATGGTGTACTCTTGTGATCCTTGCACTAAGAGGCTTTGGCAGGAGGATGTAAAGTTCAGCTTCAACTTAAGCTACAAACTTTTTTTTTTTTTTTAAGTTTTAATTATGAGCCAGGAACAGTGGCACATGCTGGTAGCCCCAGATACTCGAGAGGCTGAGGCAGAAGAATCATAAGTTTTCAGCCTCTAGCAAGACCCTTTCTCAAAAAAACAAAAACAAAAACAAAAAAACAATGAGCTGGTGTATTAGTACATGCCTGTAATCCAGAATTCAAGGCCAACATAAACTTAGTGAGATCCTGTCTCAAAAAAAACAAATGCTCATAGAAAAATTCTTCTGGAGAGAGAAGCTGTATTTTGTATTTGTGGTAGATAGAAGGGTAACTTAATTGTTTGTTATTTGAATCATTTTGTGGTGAGATTGCAGTAATAGCTTAGTAATTAAAAGCACAAAAGTATATTCATGAGGTGGAATGCTACTTATCCAAATTAAAAAGTGGCAAGTTACTGAAAGAGAGTAACATGAAGGAAACTCAGACACATTGTATGGTTCAAAGACAAGCCACACTAAGTGGTTATGTTCTTAGGAGGTGAGAAGTAGAAACCATGGCTGCAGAGGAGCACAGAGGGTCTTGCTGAATAGTGAGAACTCAATCAGAGTGGTGGCAATGTTTGTCCGAACGTAATACAGGAATTGGGCCAAACTGTGTATATACATTTGCGTGTACATGTGAATACCCATGTGCAAGCTGATCAAACTCAGTCTTATACATGCTAGGAAAGTGTACTATAGTTAAGCTATTTAACCCAGTGTTGGTGGCTTATCCTAGCTACTCAGAAGGCAGAGATCTGAGGATAACAGTTTGAAGCCAGCTTGGACAGGAAGGTCCATGAGACTTCATCTCTAATGAATCACAGAAAAAGCTAGAAGTGGTGCTATGGCTCAAGTGGTAGAGTGCTAGCCTTGAGCAGAAGGAGCTTAGGGACAGTGCCCAGGCCCAGAGTTCAAGACCAGGAACAAAATTAATAAATAAGCTACACTCCCAACCCAAGATTTGAGCATTTTCTTTTTTTTTTTGGGTCCGGACTGGGGCCTGAACTCGGCCTGGGTGCTGTCCCTCAGCTCTTCAGCTCAAGGCTAGCACTCTACCACTTGAGCCACAGCGCCACTCCGGCTTTTTTCTTTTTGCTTATGTGGTGCTGAGGAATCGAACCCAGGGCCTCAGGCATGCAAGGCAAGCATTCTACCACTGAGCCATCTTCCCAGCCCTTGAGCATTTTCGTATATACAAATTATAGCTGTGGGCTGGGAATATAGCTTAGTGGTAGAATGCTTGTCTTGCATGCATGAAGCCCTGGGTTTGATTCCTCAGTACCACATAAACAGAAAAAAGCTGGAAGTGGCCTGTGGCTCAAGTAGTAGAGTATCTCAGAGACAGTGGCCAGCCCCTGAGTTCAAGCCCCAGGACTAACTAATAAAAAATATAGCTCAGTAGAACAGTGGAAAAAGTATCAGAAATCCACCAAGATATCAATGACTAAACAAATTAAGTGACCAAAATTTAAGTGAAAGTCAAAAGGCAACCAGAATCCAAATAACACTTTTGAGCTGAAGATAAAAAATAAACTACTTGAAATCTCATCAACCAAAGATAATGACTGACAATATTTGTATTTTATTGGGGGGGGGGGGTTGTGTGTGTGTGTGTGTGTGTGTGTGTGTGATCCTGGGGCTTGAACTCAAGACCTGGGAGCTGTCCCTGAGCTTTTTTTTTTTTTTTTTAATCAAGGCTAACGCTCTACCACTTGAGCCACAATTCTGCCTCCAGCTCTTTTTGTTGGTTAATTGGAGTTGAGTCTCACAGAGTTTTCTTCCCAGGCTAGCTTTGAACATCAGTCCTCAGATCTTAGCCTCCTGAGTAGCTAGGATTACTGACATGAGCCACTGGCACCAACCTTGTTGTATATTCTTACTGACTGTATTAAAGGAAGATGCTACAGATTTTTCAAACTTGCTCCCGTAACCCAGTATTAGGACTTAGATATGCTCCATTTTGTTTAATTGCATGTTAACACAGTTAATTAATTTGTCTTGATTTAATTCCTGTTTAACATACAGCTCCCCCCATTTTCCAAACTATCCATACTTGACTCTGATTTCTAATTTACCACCAGAAAACCGGAAGTGGCACTATGGCTCAATTGGTAGAGTGCTTGCCTTGAGTTGAAGAGCTCAGGGATAGGGCCCAGGCCCAGAGTGGCACTATGGCTCAATTGGTAGAGTGCTTGCCTTGAGTTGAAGAGCTCAGGGATAGGGCCCAGGCCCAGAGTTCAAGCCCCATGACCAACAACAAAAAAAAAACACTTAATGATTACACTATTTCTGTGTACTACATTGCACCTAAATCCCCTTTCTTCCAGATAAAGTAATTTGTTTGGTTTTAGGGTATGCATTTAACTATTATTTATTTTAAAGATGGCTCTGCTTAACACAGAATTACCAATATATACTGAACACCAGCAGTGTGTGTGTTCATTGCTCCAACCATTGGTATACTTTTTTTGTGTGGCAGTACTAGAATTTAAACTCAAGCTATCGCAGTTGCTAGAATAGCACTCTGCCACTTGAGCCAGAGTGCTTTTTGATGATTAATTTGCAGATAGTGTCTGTCAAACTTTTCTGCCTGGGTTGCCCTCAAACAGTCATCCTCCAGATCTCAGCTTCCCGAGGTAGCTAGGATTATGGACAGGACCCACTTGCACCTAGCTCGCTTTTTAACTTGAAGAAGTTAACTTCTTTTATGTTGAAAAGAAGAAATGTGGGGCTGGGAAGGTGGCTCAGTGTTAGAGCGCTAGCCTTGAGCTAAAGAGCTGAGGGACAGCCGCCCAGGCCCAGAGTTCAGGCCCCACGACCGGACCCAAAAATAAAAATAAAAAAAGAAAAGAAGAAACGTTTTGCCCAAATATATGGGTTTTTTTTAATTGTGAAAATAACGTACTGAGGGGTTACAATTACATGGGCAAGATAATGAGTACGTTTCTTATCAAGCATTGTTGGCTCCTCCTTTGTTTCCCCTTCCCATCCCTTCCCATCTCTCACCCACACTTCCCCACCCCCCCAAATATATGGTTTTATGTCTTTGAGATTTCATGTAGTAAGGAACATAAATCTGTACGAGTTAAGAATTTTATCCAGTGTATAAAATGTTTGATTTCTAGCTAACAAGGGAGTAAGGAATTGAAGATATATGTGTGCCTGTTGGTTTTGTTTTGTTTTTGATGCTAGGGGTTGAACCCAGAGCCTTATGCCTGCTAAATATGTATTTTTCTACCAAGCTACTTCCCCAGTTGTGTGTTTCTGCTGAAGGGGTAAGGAATTCATTCAGTCCACATAACGGGAGCTTTAAAAACATACCTAATGATTGTTGAATGTTGCCTAAATATGGAGAAATACTCTGACTCCGTATGAATAAATGCTCTATAAAGTTTATAAATAAAATGGAAATATTTCTAATAGAACTGTATGTTGAATTTTTTTCTTTTACAGACAGGAAAACTAATTTTGAAACCTAGGCCTCACGTTCAATGACAGTCTGCACTCATTGTTATGGGACCTAAAACAGTCTCTCTTCAAATAAGTGATACCGCAAAAAGCCATAAGGATTCCTTTTGCAGTTGGATACGTGAAGGTTATAGCAACAACAGACAAGAAGTGTGCAATATTTCCCAAGATTGTCTTGATGATGACTCAAGTTGTTGGTGCTTTGGTACCTTTGATTACCTGTGTTCAGTATTAGTGTCACTTTAGTACTTCAGTTCCTGCAAAGAGTTTTGCAGATGAAGTATGCATCTATGTTACTAAGTTAAACTTAGAAGCCGAACCTCACTCAGTTTTTATAATGTATTTTTGCAAACTACTGTAAATAGCAAATCAATGCCAACATTAAACAAAGAGGAAGATGTGTGGACCTTATTCCCCTGCACCAGTATTTCAGGAACATCTGCTTGCCATCCTCACAGCTCTCTAACACTGGCTGTTATGTGTGCCTTTCATTCTTTCTTCTCTTAATTGTACTGCAGGAAAAACAACAGATTCTGCTTAGACTGAGGAAAACTCATCTCCATTATGTTGTAAGAAATTACAGATGTTTTGAGAATTTTTGTTAAACCAGATTCTTAAGTACAGCAGCTCTGTGATTATTTTCAGTCCATTGTTTTATTTAGTGCTAACTATATATTTTTTTTAAGATTTTGTTTATCCTGACTTTCACTTGTGTAAAGTTTTATTTTTTGAACTGCAGCAATAAAACCCTCTGCTCCTAAGAAGTCTGAAGAGGGCATTCTACAAATTCTGCTGTTTTATTTTCTGTAAATTTTGTAGGTAAATATGTGCATAAAAATAAATACTTTATATATAACTAGTGATTGGACTTTTTCTTTGGTTCATGTCATATATAACAAAATTAAAAATTCTTGATAGATGCTTATTCCAAATGAGACATTTTACTTTACATGCAATAGAGGAAATAAAATCAATGCAACATTTTAATTAATTCATCCTTGAGGAAATTTATCTTTTGAACCAAGTATACTGAAGTCACATTTAGTTGTCTCATTGAGCAACCTCGCTGAAAGATTGAAAGCTGTGACTGAGGTGCTGTTTTAAGTTTCGTTTTGGGGTAGTACTGGGTATTGAACTTGAGGCCTTGCATTTACTTAGTAAGAGTCCTTTTTGTTTAAAAAGTAAAACTTTACTTTTCAGCTAAGGTCTTGTGCTTTCATCCTTGGACCTAGATCCTCCAATCTTTGCCTTCTGAGTATCAGAGAGCACAAACCTATACTACCACACCCTAACCTGACTACTGCTTTTTGAAGGGTCTGTCTTTCTTAAGAGCTTGTTTGGAGGTTCTAGCAGGGAAGCGCAGCTACTCCTATACCCTTGACCAAAGACCGGTCCTCTATCAGGGAAAGTCCTTCTCTGACCAAGTGCGGATGAAGCGGTGAGGGAGGAAGGGAACAGGGGACACTTGCCTAGTCAGCCAGATCAGCCGAATCAACCTTGGCAATCAATGGGGTGACATGTTGCAGACAGATCACCCTCACATCCCTGTCTTTAGAGCTGGTATTTTATAGACAGGATGCCAAGAATGCTCACTGATAAACACTCTGCATGTCTGAGCAACTAAATTGTTTCACTGTCATTTGAAGCCATAGGAGTCTCATTTTTCTTTCAGATCATCTATGAAGTACATGCCTACTTCATCAGGAAGCACAAACTTTCTAGTAACTAATGTTTTTAGACTATAGTTGATGTCTGCTATGCAAGCTTGAAAAACAAGAGAAGGCAAGCCAGGCACTGGTAGCTCATACCTGTAATCCTAGCTACTGTATTTAGGAGGCTGAGATCTGAGGATGGCAGTTTCAAAGCCAGCCCAGGAAAGTGTGAGGCTCTTACCTCCACTAAACTACCAAAAAGGCCAGAAGTGGAACTCTGCCTAGAGTATAAGAAGCTCAAGGCAACACCTAAGCCCTGTGTAAGCCCCCGGACTGGCACTAATAATAATAATAATAATCTTGCTACTTAATACTGTAAGAAATGGTACATGATATTGGGGTACCATGTAGGAATCAACACTACAGAAAGAACTCAGCAAAGTTTACTTTGCAGAAGGGTGTGTCATTAGCCAAAAGAGAGCAGGCAGGCCACTGCCTTTTTATCTCTAATATAGCAGGTCCTGCCCCTCAGATTGGCCAAGCTTGTTCGTAATCTGCTCAAGATTGACCTATTTGAAGAAAGTAGAATATAGTTACATAAAGTAACCACCAAAAGACTTTGAGATAAGAATAGTTCACGAATAATCCCCAAATATACCCTAGCTAGTTTCTTGAAACAGAATAATCGACGAGCCAAGCCACCAGGCCAAACAGGAACTTTTTGTTATTGGTCATGGAGCTTGAACTCTGAGCCTCTGTGTGTGTGTGTGTGTGTGTGTGTGTGTGTGTGTGTGACAGGAACTTTTTGTTATTGGTCATGGAGCTTGAACTCTGAGCCTGTGTGTGTGTGTGTGTGTATGTGTGTGTGTGTGTGTGTGCGTGTGTGTGTGTTGTCTGTCTCCTCTCTCTCTCCTCCCCCTACCTCCAGTCCTGGGGCTTGAACTCTGGGCCTGGGCACTGTCCTTGACTGCTTTTTGCTCAAGGCTAGCACTCTACCACTTGACCCATGTGCCACTTCCAGCTTTTTCTGTGTATGTGATACTGAGGAATTGAACCCAGGGCTTCATGAATGTGAGGCAAGCACTCTACCACTAAACCACATTCCCAGCCCATGAGCTCTCTTTTTCTCGAGGCTAGTATTCTACCACTTGTGCTACAGTTCCAGTTCCAGTTTTTTAGTGGTTAATTGGAGACTTCTCATGGAATTTCCTGCCGGGGCTAGCTTTGAACCATGATCCTTGGATCTCTTGAGTAGCTAGACCCCAACACCCAGCTCAAAACAGGAACTCCTCCCCCACCAGCTCCCCTCCCACCCCAGTCCTGGGGCTTGAACTCAGGGTCTAGGCTCTGTCCCTGAGCCTCTCTGCTCAAAGTTAGTACTCTACACTTGAGCCACAGTGCCACTTATGAGGTACCCAGGGCTTCATGCATGCTAGGCAAGCACTCTACCACTAAGCCACATTCCCAGCCCAGGAACTTTTTTTTTTTTTTGCCAGTCCTGGGGCTTGCACTCAGGGCCTAGGCAGTGTCCCTGAGTCTGAAACCTCCAAAACTGTGAGCCAAAATAAACCTTTCCTTTGTAGGGGCTGGGAAGGTGGCTCAGTGGTAAAGCGCCTGCCTTTCATGCCTGAGGCCCTGGGTTTGATTCCTCAGCACCACATAAGCAAAAAGAAAAAAGCCGGAAGCTAGCTTTGAGCTGAAGAGCTGAGGGACAGCGCCCAGGCCCAGAGTTCAGGGCCCATGACCGGACCCAAAAAAAACAAAACACCTTTCCTTTGTATAGCCACAGTACTGTATCACACCTAAAACAATTTCATATTATCAAAATTCAGAGCTGGATGCTGGTGGCTCATGCCTGTAATCCTAACTACTCAGGAGACTGAGATCTAAGGATGGCAGTTCAAAGCCAGCCTGGGCAGAAAAGACTCTTATCTCCAACTAATTACACACACACACACAAAGCCAGAAGCAGAACTGTAGCTCAGGTGGTAGAGCACTAGCCTGGAGGTGAAAAAGCTCAGGGATAGCTTCTAGGACTGGCCAAATTAAATAAATCTGGCTCCCTCTTTTTTGTATTTTTGTGGAGGGAAAGTCCTGCTCATAGCAGGACCTTGTATATACTACGCATATGCTCCATGACCTTGTTTAAATGTATGGAAAAATATTGATAGGTAAAAGTGTCAAACATTTTAGAAAAAGTAATGACAAATGGGAAACTAGAATAGTGGAGAAAGGCAATTAACTTCAGGAAAAACAGGGTTGTCAGAGAGTAACTGGAGTTAGTGTTCAACAGTGAGCGGAAACTTAGACCATGACTGTTGATTTAATCAGGACTGTGCTTTGCACTGTAGTGCTAGTTACACAGAGGCTGGAGAAGGAGGATTGCTTGAGCAGGAGGTCCAAATGAGCCTGGGCAGGAAAGTGGTGCCTGGTCTCCAAAACCAAAATAAACGGGGCTGGGAAGGTGGATCAGGGGTAGAGTGTTTGCCTTACATACATGAGGTCCTGGGTTTGATTCCTCAACACCACATAAGCAGAAAAAGCCTGAAGTGGTGCTTTGGCTCAAGTGGTAGAGCACTAGCCTTGAGCTGAAGAGCTGAGGGACAGCACCCAGGCGGCTCAGAGTTCAAGCCCCATGACTTGACCAAAAAACAAACAAACAACCACCACCAACAACAAAATTATTTAGAAATTTAAAAAATTACAAAAACAGTGAATTGTGGTAGAATTATGTTGGAGACAGGATATTGGAGAATTCATCTGATGCTGGCCACTTAGAGCAGTGGAAAGATAATTTCTGGATACTGCTGTCAAGGATTAACCAGTCAAAAGTTTGTGGAGAGGGACTGGGAACCCTTTTCCTTTAAGAACTTTTCATTATGTATCTGCAGGAAATAGTTTTTCTGGTGCGGTAACTAAGTATGAGTTTGTTAGATGAATTGTGTGTGTGTGTGTGTGTGTGTGTGTGTGTGTGTGCAGGTGTGTGTGTGATATGTGTGTATGCTGGTCCTAGGGCTTGAACTCAGAGCCTAGGTGCTGTCCCTGAGCTTTTCTTTTTTTTTTTCTCAAAGCTAGTACTCTACCACTTGAATCACAACTCCACTTTTGGCTTTTTGGTGATTAATTGGAAATGAGCAGATGTAATTTCCTGCCCAGTCCAGCTTCAAACTGTGATCCTCAGGTCTTAGCCTCCTTAGTACTAGGATTACAGGCTTGAACCACCAGCGCCTCACTGGATTATTTTACAAGTGAATACATGGGTGTACAGCACCAATTGCCCAATTTTGGTGTGCCATTCTTTTTTTTTTTTTGCCAGTCTTGGGGCTTGAACTCAGGGCCTGGGTGTTGTCCCTGAGCTTCTGTTGCTCAAGGCTAGCACTCTACCACTTGAGCCACAGAGCCACATCTGGCTTTTTCTGTGTATGTGATACTGAATGGAACCCGGGGCTTCATGCATGCTAGGCAAGCACTCTACCACGAAGCCGCATTTCCAGCCCTCGGTGTCCTATTCTTGCATACGTTTTCTATTCTCCTTTACCTGGTGTTACCTAGTAAATTTCCTCAATTTTCTAGCTCTTAGGTAACTCACTATTGCAGACATTACAATCAAGCTCTGGAGCATGACTATGTAGCTTAAATCCTGTCTTTGTCTTTACAAATCTTGAACTCTCAAACAAGTCACTTAACTCCTCTGTGCCTCCATTTCCTTATCTCCAACGTTACCTGGAATTGTTGGTGGAGTCAGGAGATTATGACCTGCAAAACTGTCAGAATAATACCTGGCATGTGAGAGGACCTTAATGCAAACTCTCAGAGTGCTTACTCTCCAAATGGAGAATGGAGCCTATAATAATTATCAATGAATTTGATCAAAACAGGTTTTGTGGGCTTTAAAAAAAAATAAGCTTTGAGGCTGAGGATGTAGCTAAGTGGTAGAACACTTGCCTAGTATGCAAGACATGCCAATCTTGGTTGTCAACTTGATTGGATTCACAGATAAGAGATAGTGAAGTGTCTCATGGATGTTTTCAGAGACAAATAGATCTGGATGGATTTTAGCATTTGAAAAGACTATTGGGAGGTAGTAGACCTATAGAAGGGAAGGTAGAACCTGGTCACTTAATGTAGGGCCATCTGAGACAGAGGGCAGTAACCATGTAGAGGGAGTGGACAGTCCAAGGACTGTAACTCAGCTAAGTGCCAGACAGTGATCATTTAAAGACTGGCAATGGCTCCTGCCCTTCAAGAAGCTCTCAGACTAGAGCAGGTAACCCAAATGCCTACCATTTCCTGCTCCCTTCCTGTGCTGGGGATAGAGCCCAAGGCCTTACACTTGCTAGGTATCTTTGATAACAATTCATGGGCACACAAAGTACATGGAAAGACCAGGGGTGGGAGGTGTGTCTGTCTGGTCAGCAGGTAGGGTGAATACAAGAAGCAGGCCCCATGTTTTGGTCATCTGTTTAGGCTAGATCATCTGTAAGTCCCACAAGCCCCTATAACACAGAGGAGCTGTAAGTAGATCTAACACTGTGTCTTGGGAACGTGGGGACATTGGATGGGGGGGAGGGTGTTCAAGCTTGCTGAGCTCTCCAGTTCTATAAGTCAAAGGCAAATCCTCTGAGAGTCCAGGTGAAGCTAAGATGGCACCCTGAGCTGGAGAATTGTTGGAAACACATATCAGAGTGCAGTGGCCATTTAATGTACATTTTACACAAACATTCAAGCTGGATTCCACAACTATCTAGGACTGTCAAAGATTTTATTGATCAGACTGTCAATACTTATTGCTCAGAGGATATGCTAAGAAAGTTACAGTACCAAAATGTGAAGGGATACGACAGACATCTAGGAGAAGAATTAGCTTCTATTTTTAAATAATTCCTTGGGCCGATTAAGTGATGACAAGATACCAAACTCATCTTAAGATCTCTTTGCAGTTCAAATATTCTCTTAGATAGTGCTGATGGCCCATGCTTGTAATCCTATCTACTTGGGAGACAGATTAGGAAGATAGAGGTTCAAGGCCAACTCTGGGCAAAAAAAGTTTTTGAGATTCCTCAACCAGTAGGTAGGCATGGTCACTTACACTTGTCAACCCAGCTATAGCAAGAAATGAAAAAATAAGCAATTGTGGCCCAGGCAAGTGCCAGTAAAGAAGGGAGATCCTATCTCAAAAATAACCAAGGCAGCTGGGTGCTGGTGGCTCACGCCTGTAATCCTAGCTACTCAGGAGGCTGAGATCTGAGGATCGCAGTTCAAAGCTAGCCTGGGCAGAAACGTCTATGAGACTCTTGTATACAATAAGCCGCTCAGAAAACTGGAAGTGGTGCTGTGGCTCAAGTGGTAGAGCACCAGCCTTGAGCTGAAGAGCTCAGGGACAGCACGCAGGCCCAGAGTTCAAGTCCCACAACCAAAAAAAAAAGTCATAAAAGAGCAAGAAGCATACCTTCTCAACAGCAGAGCACCTGCTTAGCAAGTACCAGGCTCTGGGTTCAACTCTCCCTTCCCCCAAATAAATTCTCGTGCCAAAAAGATCTATAGGAAAAAATGGTTAGATAATCATTGTTTTGATGTTTTTAAATGGCTGAGGTTGAACCTCAGTGATAAAGAACATGCCTACAAGTATCCCGGAGGCCCTAGCATCATGAATAAATAAATAGAAAATGACTGCAGGATTAGACTGCTTAAAGGTCATTGGGCTTCTTCTAAAACTTAATCCCCCATAGGTAGCTGGATACCTGCTGAACTCATTCAATAGTCTTATCATTCATTTTCAAAAAGATGTTAATCTCTCACTGAAGAAAGTAACAATGATAACAGATCACAAGGTTCTGCACTAGCTACAATGTTTTTATTTATTTTGATTTTTTAAAGATTGTAGTTTTTTTTTTAAAGATTGCAATTTTCAGTTCACAGCAGAATTGAGAGGAAGAAGGTGCAGAGATGTCCCATATACCTCCTTAACTCCCACCCACACACACATACATAGCCTGACCAATTGTCAATGCCACTCAACCTCTTGTCACCCAGAGTCTGTGGTTTGCATTCGAGCTCACTTTGGGTCATTTAGTCATTTCACAGCACTGAAATCTGGGTCATCTAAGTTTGTTTCTTTGTTTTTGAAACAGGTCTTGCTATTTCGCCTGGGTTGGCTATAATCCTTCTGCATCCTCCTTCCAATCAGAAAAGTTTCTTAACTATTGTCTTGCTTATTTTCACAATGAAATAGCAAAAGATTTTTGTTGTTGTTGGTCCCAGGGCTTGAACTCAGGGTCTGGGTGCTGTTCCTGAGCTCTTTTTGCTCAAGGCTAGTGCTCTACCAGTTTGAGCCACAGCATCACTTCCAGTTTTGTGGTGGTTAATTGGAGATAAGAGTCTTACAGACTTTCCTGCCTGGGTTGGCTTTGAACCATGATTCTCAGTTATCAGTCTCCTGAGTAGCTAGGATTACAATCATGGAGCCACCAGCACCAGCAAAAGATCTGTTTTTATTTCAGTGATTCCATCTAGATGGCATGCCTTATTCCTTCCTGATCATGTTTGGTCATGTGACATGCTAGTGTCATTTGTGTCTTTATACACAGATGGGTTCAACTGGGGAAGCTAGCAAAATTGTGTTAGTACATACAGAAACTGAGAATTACAACTGAATTTTGAACTAAGTGTTTGAAACAAGGAACAAGGTTTGTGCTGTCTCAGGAGAGAACTGTCCCGGATTATAAAGTCAGAGGAGGCATCTATGAAGGAGTAACACATGTGCACTAACTAGTTCATGGATGTAGGGTATGGGGCATAGACATGACTAAAGAATAGGGTGCCAGGGGCTGGGAAGGTGGCTCAGCGGTAGAGTGCTTGCCTTGCAAGCATGAGGCCCTGGGTTCGATTCCTCAGCACCACATAAACAGAAAAAGCCGGATTTGGCGCTGTGGCTCCAGTGGTAGAGCGCTAGCCTTGAGCTGAAGAGCTGAGGGACAGCGCCCAGACCCAGAGTTCAGGCCCCATGACTGGCAAAAAAAAAAAAAAAAGAATAGGGTGCCAGTGGTTCATACCTGTAATCTTAGCTACTCAAAAGGCTGAGATCTGAGGATCAATTTGAAAGCCAGCCTGAGCAGGAAAGTTTATGAGACTCTTATCTCCAATTAACCACCAAAAAGCCAGAAATGGAGCTGTGGCTCAAAGTCTATAGAGAACTAAAAAAAAAAAAAAAAAAGCAACAAAACAAGACCAAAAACCTCAGGGTCATGCTCAGGCTCTGGGTTCAAACCCCAGGACAGGCACCGAAAAAAAAAAAAAAACAGTAGGGCTAAGGGGTGAAGTGAGACGAAACAACCCAGGTAAGTTTTTTTTGTTGTTGTTGTTGTTGTTTTTCCGGTGGTGTGTCTTGAACTCTGCGTCTGTCCCTGAGCTCTTCAGCTCAAGGCTAGCGCTCTACCACTTGAGCCACAGCGCCACTTCCGGTTTTCTGAGTGGTTTATTGGAGATAAGAGTCTCCTGGACTTTCCTGCTTGGGCTGACTTTGAACTGTGTCCTTTGATCTCACCTTCTGAATAGTAAGGATTACCCAGGTAAGACTTTGACCTATGTCCTTAAGAGAAAAATCTTTTTTTTTTTTTTGGGGGGGGGGGGGGGTCCGGTCGTGGGGCCTGAACTCTGGGCCTGGGCGCTGTCCCTCAGCTCTTCAGCTCAAGGCTAGCGCTCTACCACTTGAGCCACAGCGCCACTTCCGGCTGTTTTCTTTTTGCTTATGTGGTGCTGAGGAATCGAACCCAGGGCCTCATGCATGCAAGGCAAGCACTCTACCACTGAGCCACCTTCCCAGCCCTAAGCAAGAGTTTCTAAGGAGAAAGGTGAAGGGATCCTCGCCTGTTTCTAGAGCTAACCAGTCAGTCCTCTACCAGCTGAAGCATGTCCCCAGTCCAAGTGGAGATTTTGAAAACATGGAAATGGGAAGGCCAATGGGCCATGTCGTAAAGTCAAAGGATTACATTCGCTCAGAATAGGGATATGGCAGAAGATGTGTGGCTAGATAAGAGGGACCTAGAAAATGAAAGCCCCCAGCATATATTTGGTGACTCCAAGGTGTCTTAATATCTACAGCTGGTCTTCCTGGAAAAGCCCAGGCTCTTGTAGGGGTTTTACATCTCTGTGTTTGTTTTCTGAGATATGCTGTAGGAATAGCTGCTTCGATTACTATGAAATAAAACTTGTCTTCATTCCAGGACTGACTTAGCAGCTATGCATTAATTGGATGGAGGCGGGACCAGCACGACTTTTCCCAGGAAGAGCCACAAAACCCCGCCCCCGCCCTGAATGTCCCCGCCCCGCTCATGTCGCCTTTCACGCATGCGTACATCCCGCACAGCCTCTCGCGCTGCGGACACACCGTGCGCGTGCGCGCTGCTCCTCCCAGTGCGCCCCGGCGGCCGGCAGGCACGGATAGGCTAACTTTAAATCCCTTTGGCAGGAAGACGTCGGAACCAACTGGGCAGTCTCAACCACCTACTGGTGCTTGTCCCTTTAAATCCCCTCCACCTACGTGGCCATGGGCAAGAGCCGGACCAAGCGCTTCAAGCGACCTCAGTTCTCCCCTACCGGCAGCTGTCAGGCCGAGGCTGCGGGAGCCGCGAATGGGACCGAAAACGAGGAGGACGACGAGCCGGCGGCCGAGCTGCTGGAAAAGGTGAAACCCGAGTTCCGCCGCGTCTGGGCCCCGGGGGCGGGCGTGTCTGTGGCGCGCATGCGCACGGCCTGACTCTGACACCTCTCCTGTCTCCGCAGCTCCAGCACCCGAGCGCTGAGGTCCGCGAGTGCGCTTGCGCGGGGCTGGCCCGCTTGGTGCAGCAGCGGCCGGCGCTGCCCAGCCTTGCTCGCCGCGATGCTGTACGCCAGCTCGGGCCGCTGCTGCTCGACCCCAGCCTGGCGGTCAGGGAGACGGCGGCCGGCGCGCTGAGGTGAACAGGGAGAGGGTCTGGGGTGGTACCCATGGTGAGCGTCCCCGGGCCTGGGGCTCAGCCAGGAGCACACACCCTGCTGCACTCAGTGCATTAGGAAGTTGGAAACCCTGCCTGGGCTCCCGGGTCTGAAGGAGGGGGGTGAGGTCAGGCTTCAGGGCGCCCCAGGGCCCGCACACCACATGCATTCCGCCGCTCCTCCTGGCTGCATCCCTCTTGCTAAGACATCTGCCCCCAAACCTGGCAGCACTTTTCTCCCTCCTCAAAAGTCCTCCATAAGATCCCCTGCCTAGGTGGATGAACTCCCCTGCCTGTGTACCAGGTAATGCCCCCAAATGCAGGGGTTTTGATCAGTTGTCGGGTCGTTCCACAAGAAAGACGGTGAGGGAAGTTTAAAATGTGTGCTCACCAGATGGCCTTTGTGAACCAAGACCTTGCAGGAGGGTATCAAGGCAGGGACAGGAGTAGAGCATTCCCCTCAGAGGAGACAGCACTAATGCTGCTTGGCCAGGATAGAGAACAGAACTGCTAGTGTGGCTGCAGGGAGTAAGATGAGAAATTACAGGAGGTGAAGTTGGGAGACAGACCCTGTCCATGGGTGTCCCTGGAAGACTGCGTCAAGCTGCCGAGCCAGGTGAGATCACTGAGAGGAGGCTGGGTGCAAAAATAGGGACTGTAAGAGGAAGCAATGGTAGAATAACTTCTACTATTTTGGTACTTTTCACTGCTCTGTCTACATGTATTATTTATGTTTTAGTCATTGACTTAGCAAATGCTATCAAGTGCCTTGGATGAACTGCCAGTGAACTAGGTTCTGGGCTTAGGTAGTAAAGAAGACAGACAACATTTTTGTTCTTGATGGAACTTTGTGTGTGTGTGTGTGTGTGTGTGTGTGTGTATGCACACATGCATGCACATGCACTGGTCCTGGAGTGTGAATTCAGCCTGGGTGCTATCCCTGAGGGTTTTTTGTTTGATGTTTGTTTTTGCTACAGGCTAGCACTTGAGCCATACCTCTACTTCCAGCTTTTTGGTGGTTAACTGGAAATAAGAGTCTCACACACTTTCTTGCCCTGGCTGCCTTCAAACCTCAATCCTCGAATCTCAGCTTCCTGAGTGGCTAGGATTACAGGTGTGAACTTCCAGTGCCTGCCTGATGAATCTTTCAAAACAATTTTTTTTGTGCTGGTCCTGGGGCTTGAACTCACAGCCTGGGTGCTATCCTTTGCATTTTTGCCCAAGACTAGTGTTGTACTACTTGAGCCACAGTTCCACTTCTGTCGTTTTAGCTGGTTAATTGGAGATAAAGTCTCACAGACTTTTCTTCCCAGACTAGCTTCAAACTGTAATCCTCAGATCTCAACCTCCTTAGTAGCTAGGGTTGATTACAAGTGGGAGCCATCAGTGCATGACTCTTTCAAGGAATTTTTGGTTTGTTTTTTGTGCCAGTCCTGGGGCTTGAACTCAGGTCCTGGGTGATATCTCTAAGCTTTTTTACTCAAGGCTAACTATCACTTGAGCCACAGATCCACTTGCACCAGTCCTGGGGCTTTAACTCAGGGCCTGGGTGCTGTCCCTGAGCTGTTTTGTTGTTGTTGTTGGTCGTGGGGCCTGAACTCTGGGCCTGGGCACTGTCCCTCAGCTCTTCAGCTCAAGGCTAGTGCTCTACCACTTGAGCCAAAGCACGACTTCCGGCTTTTTTTCTGCTTATGTGGTGCTGAGGAATTGAACCTAGGGCCTCGTGTATGCAAGGTAAGCATTCTACCACTGAGCCAGCTTCCCAGCCCCTATCCCTGAGCTTTTTTACTCAAGTCTAGTTCTCTATCATTTGAGCCACAGATCTTCTTTCAGCTTTTTGGGTGGTTTCTTGGAGTTCAGAGTTTCATGGGCTTTCCTGTCCATGAGAGGCTGGCTTTAAGCCATGATCCTCAGATCTCAGCCTCCTGAGTAGTTAGGGTTACAGGCATGAGCCACCAGTGCCTGGCCCTTTGATGAATCTTAGTTTGTTGATGGAGATGAACATTATCCAAGTTTCTAGTTACAACCAGTGACAATTACAGAGAGTGTAACTGTAGGGGTCCAAAGAAGAAAACCTTGAGCAAATAATGTTTGATGTAAGATTTAAAGATAAATGGAGATTGCCCATCGATAGAGGACAATCAACATGCATCTTTCCCTCGGGCAGAAACAGCATGTAAACCTCTCCCCCTAAACATACACAGAGTAGGAGGTCCTGAGAGATTGTTGAGGCATCTTCTGACTTCTTCCCATATTCTCTGTCTGGCACAGTGTTGTGCACTCAGAAAGCAAGTGGTATCTTTCCAATTAAGATTAAGTTTAGCCAGGCACTGATGGCTCACACTTAAAATCCCAGCTTCTTAAGAGGCTGAGAGATCTGAGGATTGAGGTTCAAAATCAACCCAGGCAGACAAATCTGAGAGACTCGTCTCCAATTAACCAACAAAACCAGAAGATGAGGTCTGGCCCAAGTGGTATAGTGCCAGCCTTGAGAGAAAAAGCTAAGCGAGAGCAGGTATCAGCACAAAAATTTTTTTAAATTCAATGAACTTTAGCCAGGCGATGCCACTCCCAATAGTCTCACCATAGTCCTTGCTGCCCTTGCACTTGATTCCAAGAAATGTTCACTCCATAAAGGTATAATATATCCATATTATGTGCAAAGTCTCCCCAGCCCCCTTCTGTAGCCTTGCATCTGTGTGCTGCCCCAGATGCAAAACTAAGTTGTTCCGTTACAAAGGCATTTATGTACCTCCTGTCCATTGAGGACCAGAACAGGTAGGAACAGTGAGTTTGATCCTGCCGTGTGTCAGTAGGATAGCAGCCCCAGATTGGAAAATCTTAAGTGTGAGTGGGAAGTAAATCCTATTTTAAATGCCTTGTGTAGAAATCTCAGCGCTTGTGGAGGTTTTGAAGTTTGTGATGACATGGTGACTAAAGACATCATGACTCCCCTGGTGGCTCTGCTAAAAGAGGTACGTAGTTTCTTATGTGTCTCGATGGCGGCTTCCGCACGTAGCTTGTAAGAGACAAACTTAACAGCTTGTCTGCCATTTCCTCCCTTCCCTTTCATCCCTCTCTTCTCTTCCTTTCTTCCTTTCTTTGCTTCCTGACTTTGGTGTTAGCTATTTTGTCTTCCTTGGATTCATCTGGGAACCTCACTCATCTCGGAAGCCTTGATATTCTTCCCATTGACGCCCCTTGTTATTTTGTCTCCACAACCTTTATCTATGTGAAATTTAGAAAAGACCTATCTGCAACTCTCTGCCCTCACTCATTTAGACTTTCAACTTCCTGCAATAAATATAATTCGTATTTGTTGATGGCTTACTTATGTACCAGATACAGTTTTTATATTGTGCATAGTTAAGTTAGTCCTCATTGCAATCCTTTTGTTGTTGTTGTTTTTCTCTCTGTTACTTCTGGTAATTGAGCCCAGGGCCTCATGCATGCTAGCCAAGCACTCAGACCAAATCTGTTATTCCCATTTAATAGATGACAAAGCCAGAGCATGGCATTCCAATCTTATTGTGAAGATTATGTTTATTGGGGCTGGGAAGGTGGCTCAGTGGTAGAGCGCTTGCCTTGCATGCATGAGGCCCTGGGTTTGATTCCTCAGCACCACATAAGCAGAAAAAAAAAAAGCCGGAAGTGGCGCTGTGGCTCAGGTGGTAGAGCGCTAGCCTTGAGCTGAAGAGCTGAGGGACAGAGCCCAGGCCCAGAGTTCAGGCCCCACGACCGGACCCCCCCCCCCAAAAAAAAGAAAGAAAAAGAAAAAGATTATGTTTATTGGGGGCGGGCGGGGGTGTTTGCCAGTCCTGGGACTTGAAATCAAGACCTGGGTTCTATCCCTGAGCTTCTTTTGCTCAAGGCTGTCACTCTTGCTATTCGAGCCACAGCTCCACATCTGGCTTTTTAAATTTGTTTTCTTAGTAATTTATTGGAGTATCTCACAGACTTGATTGCCCAGGCTAACTTTGAACCATGATCCTCAGATTGCAGCCTCCTGAATAGCTAGGATTAAAGGCATGGGCTGCTAGTTTATGTTGTGTTTTTGCTGAATGGAGTGGTGTATACTTGTAATCACTGTATTTGGGAGGCAGAGGCAGGAAGATTGAGAGATGAAGTCAGACTGGATTACATAGTGAGTTTTAGGCCAGCCCTTCAGCCTGGCCCAGTATTCTACATTGAAGGGTACGTTCCACTTAAGGCTGTATACAGCATATCCAGTTCTATATGAGGGATCAGTCCTATTTCCTTTAGAGCAGTGATCCTTAACTAAGATCAGTTTTGTCCTACTTTGCCTCCCAGTGCCTCAGATTCCTATTTGTATCTGGAGATTCAGGGTAATAGTTGATCCACTTCTTAAGTGTAATGTGGAATTAAATGACTTAATATATGTAAAGTATTTAGAATATTGCTTTAGGGTGTGCTGTGTAGATGTTAACTGACATTTCTTTGCCTTTCATTTTAAATTACATAAGGTAAATGCTTTGTGTTGTACTTTCATTTAAAATGTAAAATGGGTTGTATATTGAATTTGTGCAAGGACTTGGGGGCTTCTCTTGTCTGTGCTTGCAAAAGGATGCCTAGCTGTGGAAATTGAGCTTAGGAGAATTTGATAGGCTGGCTAACCACAGTAATTTCGGATGTTTAGTTTCTGTGATACTTTACTATATCATTAGCTTTTTATGTTTAATTATTCTTTTGAATCATGGTGCTAATCATGGTATTTGGTTGCAGTGTGGTGCTGGACTAGATTCAAATGAGATGTCTCCACAGGAGAACAAAGATCAGAACAGAAACTCTGTTGAGAACATAGCCAATGAGGCTGTGAACGTGCTGTGGAATATATGGTAAGCTGTTCTCAGAATGCAGCCCCCTGCTGCATCCTGCTAAGCTGTGAAGGAGCTTCTGTTCCCCTGGCTAGGCCTAAACCTATGACATAATAATGGGTAGGAGGTAGTGTCAAGTGGCCTGAGACCCATCCTCCTTTCAGCCCTTCTAGCTTCACAGCATCCTTTTCATTTTACATCTCTTCCCTCTCGTTACTGCTGCTGACAGAAAATAAGAGGAATCATGACCTTCAGTGCTTGCTTTCCCCCTTTGTCCATCAGGTCCTGTGTAGCCCAGCAGCACTTATTGAGCTAGTGGGCCCAATATGGACCTGCTTTTGGGTGGACTGAGAATAGGACCACCAACCATGACTGTGTTGTATTCCTCTGTCCTGGCAATGCTTATATGAGGGGTTAGAATGCGCTCCAGTGATCTGATATGAAGAAGGCCACTTTCTTCCATTCCATGATTGCAGTCCTTGATCCAGGAGGGGGGGAGGGGGGCGCAGAACGGGCTAGACCAGCTGCTGGGCATGGAAATGGCTAAGAACACCTGGACTTCTGTTTTATGTCCCTAATGATGGCAGGCCATTGTCATAGTTCCTTATTCAGCCAGCAGTGATTATAACACTGACCTCAAAAGCCAAGGTGTTTTTTAAAATACTAGATTAAATTGGCTTCTGAAAAGCTGGACTTCCGTTTAAACTAGTGAATACATTCAACAACAAGCATTGCAAGATCCGATTGGACAAAACTTTCTTTCTTTTTTCTTTCTTTTTTTTTGCCAGTCCTGGGGCTTGAATTCTGGGCCTGGGCACTGTCCTTGAGCTTCTTTAGCTCAAGGCTAGCACTCCACCACTTGAGCCACAGTACCACTTCTGGCTTTTTCTGTGTATATGGTACTGTGGAATCGAATCCAGGGCTTCATGCATGCTAGGCAAGCACTGTACCATTAAGCCACATTCCCAACCCAAAACATTTCTCTTTTGTTATGTTTTGATTTGTTGAGACAAAGTCTAGCTTTGTAGCTCATGTTGACCTCAAAATCAAAATCCTCCTGCCATAGTCTCCCAAGTGTTATTGCAGCCTAGCTATTAGAGCAAACTGATGATTGTTGTTTGTTTATTTATTTATTTAGTGGGTCATGGGGCCTGCACTCTGGGCCTGGGTGCTGTCCCTCAGCTCTTCAGCTCAAGAGTAGTGCTCTACCAGTTGAGCCACAGCACTACTTCCAGCTTTTTCTGCTTATGTGGTGCTGAGGAATCGAACCCAGGGCCTCATGCATGCAAGGCAAGCACTCTACCACTGAGCCATCTTCCCAGCCCATGAATGCTGTTTTTCTGTGCACCAGGGAAAGTCCTTTTTTCTTCTCTTTTCGTTTTTTTTTTTTGCTTTTATTTTCTGGTGATACTTTTTTTTTCTGATGCTGGGGACTCATGCATACTAATCACATTCTCATATCTATCCCCTATAACTGTTTTGAATTGAAAATTCTTTTTAAAATGTCTTTAATGCCAGGTGCTAGTGGCTCATGCCTGTAGCTGCTCAGGTGACTTAGATCAGAAGATCATAATTCAGAGCCATCCCAGGCAGGAAAGTCCTTGAGACATTTCTCTCCAATTAACCACCAAAAATCTGGAAATGGAGCTGGGGCTCAAGTGGTAGAATGCTAGCCTTGGCCACAAAAGCTTAGGGACAGATCCTAGCTCCTGAGTTCACACACACACACACACACACACACACACACACACACACACACACACACACACACACACACACACACACACACACACACACACACACACACACACACACACACACACACACACACACACACACACACACACACACTTCCTGGGTTCCTTTGATAAATATTAACCCTACCTACTTGAGAGGGTAAGGTTGGATGGGTCACAGTTCAAGGTCAACCCAGGCAGAAAAGTTCCATGAGTCCCCATCCCAACAGATGGCTGAGTGCAGTGGTGTGTACTTGTTATCCTAGCTATCCTAACCCTAAAGTGAGCAGATCGAAGTCCTGTCATGCACATGGGCAGCAAGAGAGACCCTATCTTAAAAGCAACAGCACAGGAAGATTGCAGTTCAAGGCCAACCTAGGCAAAAAAGTTTGAGAGATTCTGTCTTAACCCCTGGCTGCTCATAGTGGCACAGGCCTGTCATCCCTAGTGATGCAGGGAAATACAAGTAGGAAAAGCATAGGCTAGGCTGGCTTGGGCATAAAGTGATACCCTACCTTAAAAATAACTATCCAAAAAAGGGCTGGAGGTTTGGCTCAAGTGGTAGAGTTCCTGTTTAGCAAGCAGGAGGCCTTGAGTTCAACCCCCTGGACTACCAAAAGAAAATTATTTTAAAGGAGCCTGAATGAATTTGCAAAGTGATTTCTCTGTCCTAAGTGTCTGTGAGCTCTCTCTCTCTGTAGTTAATAGCCATCATTACTTTAATAGTTTTGTTTCATAGGTTCTATTTCCCATTATCTTCTTGACAATACTTTAGTGCTACAGTAACTTGACAAGTAGCAAACACAGCATTTTTCCATGCATAACATATTTAATAATATTAGGTCTGTTAATGTGCCACATGTGTCTGTGCTATGCATATAGAAGTATCTTTCTCTGTAAATATGGGTAGAATTACAATTAGTTCTTTTCACCTTGTGCTTAGTGTATATGCACATTAGTAGTCGATAGTTTTCAGAATCTTCTATTGAAAAGTACTGATTTTAAAAACAATTATTAGAGTAATGTATTGGCTGCAGATTGCAGCTTCTGCTTGATGAAATAATTGCAGTCTAGAAGGAGTGAATAAATTGCAATTTGCTTTTTAAATGGTATGGAACCTTCTGTCTAAACTTAAACTTCTAATTACTGGGGTATAGTGGAAAGAATAGGCTGGGTCCAGAGAACCTGGGAACTGGACTTGGCTCCACTTCTAACAATATTTGTGACCTTCAGACAGGTCACTTTACCTTTTGGGACATGGATTTTCACATCTGTAAAATGGAGTATTAGATTAAATGATTTCTTTTTTTCTTTTTTTGGTTGATTGTGGGGCCTGAACTCTGGGTTGGACGCGGTCCCTCAGCTCTTCAGCAAGTCTACCACTTGAGCCATAGTGCTACTCCTGGCTTTTTTCTGCTTATGTGGTGCTGAGGAATCAAACCCAGAGCCTTATGCATGCAAGGCAAGCACTCTATCACTGAGCCAACTTCTCAGCCCGATTTTTTTTTTAATATATATATTTTATTGTCTTATAAAGATGCTGTATAGAGGAGTTACAATTACATCAGTCAGGTGATTTCTTGTACATTTCTTGTCAAGCATTGTTACCCCCTCATTTGTTTTTCTACTACTATCCCTTCCCTCCCACCCCACCCCCCCCCAAAGTTGTAAAGTTCATTTCCAACATAGTATCTTGTGAATATCATTGTTGCAATGGTTCATCCAGTTCTAGCCTTCTCCAGTTCTGGAGATACAGAGATGGGGTTGAGAGCGCCACCTAATGGAGGTAAAAATGCAGCCAGTTCTCAAGTACAGTAAGGGTGGGAATTTTATTTTTATTTTTTATTGTTTTTGTCGATCGTGGGGCTTAAATTCTGGGCCTGGGTGCTGTCCCTCAGCTCTTCAGCTCAAGGCTAGCGCTCTACCACTTGAGCCACAGCACCACTTCCAGCTTTTTCTGCTTTTGTGGTGCTGAGGAATCGAACCCAGGGCCTCATGCATACAAGGCAAGCTCTCTACCACTGAGCCACCCCAGTCCCAGGCATTTTATTTTTTAATCTATAAGGACCCCAGAGGTAGGGGTGGGAAGGGCTCCAGTTTGGGCATTTTATAAAGTCAAATTAATTTTTTCATGGATTTCCGTGGTTGATTTAATGTTAAAATGTGAATAGTAAAACTTTTTTTTCCCCCCTTCAATTTAGTGAATGCAGTAGTAAAGCAGTGTCTATATTCAACAAAGAAGGGTGTTTGGAGATTGTGTTAAAGTATTTAAGTAGGTTTCCCACCAATGTTGACCTGGCTATTTCAGTAGGTAAGTGAAGAAAAGGTGATGATTTATTAAATATGTGTAACCTTATTTAAGTTTATTTTCATAGTATATTAATTCTGTAAGAGTAATTTTTTCTGTCTGACTGTATATAAATGCATAGTGTAAGATTTCTATGTGTTCTGAATCTTCAATCAGTGGTTAATACTTTCATCATAATTTTCCTTCGTTTTGCTCAGAAAGGAAAGAAGGCTAATTATGTAAGCATGTGTAGTTTCTACTCTAGAAGCCTTTATTAATTCTTGGAGTTCTCATCTTCATTTACAGCCAAGGTTAAACGGGACCTGAACTTCAGGGTCTTGCAGCACAGTCCTATTGCAAACTCCCAGAGAGACTATGAATTTTTTTTTAGCAGTACTAGGATTTGAACCCCAGGCTTTATATTTGCTGTACAGACATTGTACCACTGAGCAGTCCCTCCAGCCACTTTGCATTGGTTATTTTCGAGATAGGGTCTTTCACGTGCCGGATCCTCAATCTTTCTGCACATCACCATGTCCAGCTTCTTCAGATGGAGTCTCACAGGCTTTTCTGGCTTAGAACCACAGTCCTCCTAATTTCTACCTCCAAAGTTACCCATGTGAGCTACCAGCACCTGGCCTTTTGGTTTTGTTTTGAAAGGAAAAGAAGTAATTGAACTTAGACCTGTGTCCCTTCTGCAAAGCAGAGTTTAAAAGCTTCATCTGCCTTGCCTCCCTTACCTGCTTTCTGTGGGTGCCTAAGCTCAATGGGGAGAGGAGTCAGAAAGCAGAGGATGGGCAGCTCCACAGAGTTCCGAGCATGAGCAGAGAAATGGCTGATGAAAAGCCTTTCTTCTACCATCACAATGCAGGCAGGCAGCACGGTATCCTCCGAGCCAGGAGGAGGCATGTTCCCACCAGTGTCTCTCCGTGCCCTCATGGACACTTCATCACTATCCAGACAGAGAAGGACAAATAACAACAAAGTAATGGAGTAAATGCTAATTAAAAATAAAAAATGAATTTCTCCAATGGAATCTTGGTGGGGTCCGTGTTAGGAATAAATGGGGGTTTCAAAACAGTTTACCTGTTTTCAGGAAATTCACAGGTAATATTCTCAGAGCAGTTTTATTACTATCACAGAATTACATGGAAATTAATTTATAGCTTTTAGAAGAAAAGCTTTTATTTTTGTGCTTTTAATCTTATAGATTTATATATATATTGTGTGTGTGTATGCACAAACACACTGGTGTGTATGCACACCAGTCCTAGTGCTTGAACTTGGGTCCTAAGCCCTGTCATGAGCTTTTTTTGCTCAAGGCTAGTGCTCTGTCACTTGAGCCACAGCTTCACTTAGTGCTTAATTTGAAGTAAGAGTAAGGTAAGCCTCATAGACTTTTTAGCTCAGGCTGAGTTCTACCCTCATTCCTCAGATTTCAGTTTCCTGAGTAGCTAGGATTACAGACCTGAACCATTTGTGCCTGGCTGATTTAGTTTTTTGAACTTCAATGAACTTTTATTTTTTAAACTGTAATGAACTTTTTTCAAAATGGGCCTGAAAAAAGTTTTGTATTATATAATAGTTTTTTCTTTGAGCATTTAGCTAGTTTGTGACTTTTTTCATTTCATTTATTTATTTAGCAAGTCCTGGGGGTTGAACTCAGGGCCTGGACACTATCTCTAAGCTTCTTTTGCTCAAGACTACCACTTTACCACTTGAGCCACAGCACCACTTGTGGCTTTTTCTGTTTATATGGTACTAAAGAATTGAACCTAGGGTTTCATGCATGCTAGGCAAGCACTTTGCCACTAAGCTACACTCCCAGCCTCTTTGTGCTCAGGGCTAGTGCTCTGCCATTTAAGCCACAGCACCACTTCTGTGTGTGTGTGTGTGTGTGTGTGTGTGTGTGTGTGTGTGTGTGTGTGTGTGTGTGTGTGTGTGTTGAATAATTAATTGAAGATTATAGAGCCTCACGGGGACTTTTCTACCTGGTCTGGCTTCAAACTACAATCTTCAGATTTTAGCCTCCTCAGTAGCTAGGATTACGGGCATGAGCCGCTGACACCTGGCTCCCTGAGCTTTTTTACTCAAGACTAGTGCTACTTCCAGTTTTCTGGTAGTCAATTGGAGATAAGAATCTTAGACTTTCCTGCCCTGGCTGGCTTCAAACTGCCATCCTCATCTCTCAGCCTCCTGAGTAGCTAGGATTACAGGCATGAGCCATCAGTGCTGGCTCAAGACTTTTCTTTAAAAACAAATCATTATTTTGTTTCTAAAATTAAGCAAGACCTACATATAGTAAAGTAATCTTAAAAGATTCTACCCTGCATATTATTACAGCTTCTTTTGAGCTTGTGTTTATGGACTCAATCACAGTTTATTTTGCCTTCTTACTAAGTTGAATAGAATCAAAATCTCTTAATGAAAAACAATACTTATGAATGTAAGTTTATGTGTATATATGTGGTTGTTTGTACATTGTATATGGCGATCACATTAGGTCAAGCAGTACTGTGTGTTTGGAAGGAGACAATCCATCCTGAAATTTTTAGACCTAAAAAAGAGAGGAATTTGTATGGAATAAAGACCTCAAAGGTTAGCCAGGCGCCAGTGGCTTACGCCTGTAATCCTTGCTACTCAGAAGGCTGAGATCTGAGGATCTTGGTTCAAAGCCAGCCTGGGCAGGAAAAGTCCGTGAGACTCTTATCTCCAATAAACCACTCAGAAAACTGGAAGTGGTGCTGTGGCTCAAGTGGTAGAGCGCTAGCCTTGAGCTGAAGAGCTGAGGGACAAAACCCAGGCCCAGAGTTCAAGCCCCATAACTGACAAAAAAAAAAAAGACCTCAAAGTGACAAGTTTGGCTTGAACATGTGGTGATGTGTGCATCAGAGGTCTCTCCTCTCAGAACTTTTGTGCAGTGCAGTTGTTTCTTATTTTCCATTGATTATTCCTAGTATATAAATTGGAATCTGTTGTCTTGCTTTAATCAAGGAAGATGCTAAGAGCTAAATGAAACACATGTTTTATGGTATCTTACCCATCTCAGTTTGCTCATATTTTTATGTAACATGATTTTCTTAAATATTGCCTCCCCCCAAAAAAACCTAACATTTAAGACCCTGACATAACCAAGCCAAAAATGCCCCAAACCTAGGGCTTATTCTCACTACAGCAGTCCTTTGACTGTGGCCCCTAGCTGCCCATGATAAGTATGTAAATTGAAGACATGCTGTTATAAATATGGACCTTTAAAATTTCATTTTAGTTCTGTAAAGAATTAGAAACTTGGAAAAGAAAATTAAAAGGTCTTGGCAGCATCAATAGCTTCATTTGTATGTTCCTTCCTTGAAGAACAGCATACACGTCCTGCAAAAGCTACAGGGTCTAAAAAAAGTTATAAACAGGATATACATGTTTTGATAATTTGCATTGGTATAAATTATGCTAGACAGAGTTCATTCGTTCCTCAATATTTGGCTGTTGTCTTTCAGCATACTGTTTGCAGACAGTGACAGAAGATAACCCAGAGCTACTGAAATCTCTCAATGCTACAACATTGCATGGGCTGGAATGTGCCATGCTTTGTCCTGTCAGTTCCATGGAGTACATTCTGTTAAAGACCCTGGTGGCAGGTAAAATCTTGTCAAATGCAAACCTGTGCCATTTCACTAGCTTCAGTTCCTTGTCTCGCCACATCAGGGCTCTCTGCACTTATGTCTGTTCGGAGCTTCTTAGCATTTGACTGTAGATCTCATTCCTGTTATTGCCCATAATCAGGAGGCCTTCTAGAGTAGATTTGTTTTCAGTCTGACAAACTATAGTTGCTTAATAAAGAAATGCTGTGATTAGAATCTCCTTTTATTTACGAGCTAGTGAGTTCCAAAGTTGAGTCTGGGCATCCAAGACATGGCTACTTCCTTTGCCAGGTGTTCCTCATACCCAGATTGTGTTGCTCCAGTATTTGAGCACAAACAGGACATGAACTGACAGTCCGTTGGATCTTAGTAGGGATTTCATACAGTTTTTGTATAGTTTCCTCTTGTTTTTTGACTTTGCAGGTGTTATCTTGAGAATTTTTGTTGTTCTTTAATTGTGGTAAAATGTTTATAACACTGCCATTAGGATCATTTTGAAGTGTGCACTTTGGGGGTGGTATAAAATAAGTACATGTTGGGGCTGGGAAGGTGGCTCAGTGGTAGAGCGCTTGCCTTGCACGCATGAGGCCCTGGGTTCAATTCCTCAGCACCACCTAAGCAAAAAGAAAAAAGCTGGAAGTGGCACTGTGGCTCAAGTGGTAGAGCGCTAGCCTTGAGCTGAAGAGCTAAGGGACAGTGCCCAGGCCCAGAGTTCAGGCCCCATGATCGGACCCCCCCCCCCCAAAAAAAAAAAAAAAAGTACATGTTGTACAATAAAACTTTGGATCTCTTTTTCATCTTGCAAAACTGAAACTGGACCCAGTAAATGATGTTTTTTTCCCCCTAGTTCCTGATAGCCTACATTCTATTATCTGCTTCTGAAGTCAACTGTACATATCTTAGACAAGTAGAATAATTCACAGTTATTTACTGTCACCTTTGGCTCTTGAGGGTAATGCAGCAGTGTTATGGAGTGATGCTGTCAGTCTTTTGGGTATGTGCTAGAGCAGTGGCTTTATTTTGACATCACTTTAAAAAATCTAACTACTTAAGGGTAGCTCCTATTTTAGCTTGATAAGTTAAAGCCACCATCTGTTTGTGCACAGGAGACCTGGGAGTCCGGTACATGCCATTCCACTCTTGGAAGAAGAGAAGCAGCTCAGGTTTAGATGAAAGAAAGCAAGGCAGCTCACTCTGTCATTTTCAGAGAAACTTGATCAGTGTTCTCTGTGTCTATTGATATGCTGAGTATCTGAGAACTATGTTATGCACCAAGGCAGAGAGATGATACTGACTTACACTGGCCTGAACTCTTGACTCTCAACCCTCATACCCCCACAGGCTAAGATTTATGGACAGATAGCACAACACATATCTGTGCAGTGCTTGTGCACACACATGTGTGCGTGCCAGTCCAGGAACTTGAACTCAGGGCCTTAGTGGTGTCCTTTTGTGTTCAAGGCTAGTACTCTACCACTTGAGCTGCAGCTCCACTTCCAGCTTTTTGGTGTTTAATTAGAGATAAGCGTCTTAACACACAGCAGGGTACAGGTGCCTGTAATCGTAGCTACTCAGGAGGCTGAAATCTAAGGATGGCAGTTGGAAGCCCGCCCAGGCAGGAAAATCCATGAAACCCTTACCTCCAATAAACTACTCAAAAAAGCCAGAAGTGGGGCCTGGGAAGGTGGCTCAGTGGTAGAGTGCTTGTCTTGCGTGCATGAGGCCCTGGGTTCAATTCCTCAACACCATTTAAACAGAAAAAGCCAGAAGTGGTGCTATAGCTCAAGTGGTAGAGTACTAGCCTTGAGTGAAAAAGCTCAGGGACAATGCTCAGACCCTGAGTTCAGCCACAAAAAAAAAAGAGTCTCACAGACTTTTTGACATTTCATTAAACCTAAACAAATGCAATGTGATTGAGACATTTATTTTGGGGGGGGGGATCCGATCATGGGGCCTGAACTCTGGGCCTGGGCGCTGTCCCTCAGCTCTTCAGCTCAAGGCTAGCGCTCTACCACTTGAGCCACAGCGCCACTTCCAGCTTTTTTCTTTTTGCTTATGTGGTGTTGAGGAATCGAACCCAGGGCCTCAGGCATGCAAGGCAAGCACTCTACCACTGAGCCACCTTCCCAGCCCCTGGGATTGAGACATTTTGAAATTACCTCTGAGGCTGAAGTTTCTGTGGCAACTATTCTTTTTTTGTTGTTGTTGGTTGTGGGGCTTGAACTCTTGACCTGGGCACTGTCCCTCAGCTCTTAAGCTCAAGGAGGTGAGTGCTCTTCCCCTTGAGCCACAATGCCACTTCCAGTTTTCTGGTGATTTATTGGAGATAAGAGTCTCACAGACTTTCCTGCCCATGCTGGCTTTGAACTGTGATCCTTAGATCTTAGCCTCCTGAGTAGCTAGGATTATAGGCGTGAACCACCAGTGCCCAGCTAAACTGTTCTTTTTTTGGGGGAGCGGGGGGGGGGGGGGGGGTCCAGTCGTGGGGCCTGAACTCTGGGCCTGGCGCTGTCCCTCAGCTCTTCAGCTCAAAGCTAACACTCTACCACTTGAGCCACAGCACCACTTCCATTTTTTTTTTCTGTTTATGTGGTATTGAGGAATCGAACCCAGGGCCTCATGCATGCAAAGCAAGTGCTCTACCACTGAGCCACCTTCCCAGCCCAGCTAAACTGTTCTTAATATAAGGTTTTACAGAGGAGTCCTTTGTCATTTTTCTTAGGCACAGTCTGGAATCTAAAGGACATTATTCCATCCAAGAGTCAGGCAGAGATCATAAATGCCATACTGAAGATCTTATCTGAAGTTTTAGAAGTCGATGCCATGGAAACGGTTATTCAGATGAAGGAGGCTGAGACTCAGCGGATAAAGTTGGCTGCAGAGAGCGAGGAGGTCCTGGAGCATGCTAATGGCATTAATGGCACTGATCTGGTTGAAGATGATGAAATGGAGGAAACTCCTCGAAAGAGAAAAGTTAGAAGAAAGACTTTTATTTCTGATTTACTTCCAGTAAGTCAAATTGATGCTCAGATATGGAATAATAACAGCTGTCTTCTTTCAACAGGTCTCTAGTTTTATAGAAAAGCATTAGCAAAATTGTCTGTAGAAAGAGAATTTCCATGAAAATCAGTGATGCTTTCCTATGGATTCTCATAAAAAGTGAACTCCCATGGAAAGGGGAAAAAAATCTCTTGTTTAAAATTAAATTTTTATATACAGGAACTTTTAAGGATTAGCCAGACCAGTCTTTTTGGAACATGTTAGAAATACCCAGTTATTTTTCTATCTCCACCTTTCACTTCAGCTACACATGGCCTCCCAGACTGTCTTCAAACTAAAAGAACTTGTACTCTGTTCAGATTGTCTCCAACATTCTAATTCTCCTGATTAGCACAGTGATGAGTCAACCTTCATTGACTTAACTACTGCTGAGTATAAGGTCAATGAAGGTTTGACTTATCTGGGGCTGGGATTTAGCGTGGAGGATAAGCAGTTAAGTTCAGGAATCATTTCATCTGAAACAGCAAAGCCTTGGTGTACTTTTCTAGATAGAACTACTACATATGAATAACCAAAGCATTGCCTTTGTGGGGTAACTATAAAATGAAAAGGCTTTCCTGTCCTTGGGTTGTTGACATGAAAATCTTAGTGTCTTCTTTGGGAATACCATGCATTTGAATTCCATGTTTAATTCTTATCTCTTGTGCCTCTGTGTCAGCACAAGCCAAGGGACCATGTTTTACCACTCGATTGTCAGGAGCAAAGGTGGGAATAGCAGCAAGGCTGCATGAACTCTGGGGTTCTAAAACACTGGCAGGCAGTGGGAGAAGGCTATTCTTTGTGACCCTCCTACATCCAACCTGCTCCCCAGGGCTCTTAGAGGGAGTAAATGAAGAGACTCGTGTCCACCAAGGTGAAGGTAGAAGTACATTGTTTAAAAATTATCCATAACTAGCTGTTCTGTAGAGATTTGTTTTCTTACATATTCTTTTAAAATAGAGGGGTTGAAGGTGTACTTAATGATAGAACACATGCTTACCATATTCAAGACTCTGGGTTTGATTGATAGAAGTACACACAGAAAAAAATAATTATTTTGTGATTATAATAATGTGTAGTGTTTTCTCATAGCACAAAATTGGGTTTAAAGTCTTCACTGAGCAGCCTGGATTGTTTTTAACAGTGGAGGGCCCCTTCCCAGCTCCCAGTCACTCTGTTTAATTTCATGTGTTCCCCAGATTTGCTTACTTTGAAGCAAATCTCAGTTGTCATTACATCTCATCTACTTTGATTCTTTGTGTCAATTTAGAATAGCAAGAAGCAAAGCAATGTTCTGAGCAGCAGTTACATAAAGTGGAGGCTAATTCCAGAACCTAAGCCTCTCTTTACACATTTGAAGTAGTGACAGCCTAGCAGCAAGTTTTCCATAAGCTGCAGATACTCTGATAGAGGTTTGTTTAGTCAATAATGACACATGCATAAAGCAAGTAGGAATGGTTTTCTATACATTGTTAGTAGGAATAAATGGAGAACAAATTTAGAGCATGCTAGGCAACATCTATTAAATTAGTAATATGATGTACGGTTCTGGTACTTAAATCCAGGGCCTCAGCATGAACTCTACCACTGAGCTACACCTCCAACTTCCCCCTCTCTTGTTAAAGAGCATAGTTCAAACTTGCAATTAGATTCTTAGACTGATGAAGTAGTTTTCTTGTTTGTTTGAAAATAGAACAGTGAAACCTGTTGGAATTGTTTTAAAAAGAGGGAAGCAGGTAAGAGAGAGGTGAGGTGAGGATACTTTGTATACAGGATACATTGTATCCATGTGTGGAAATGTCACAGTGAAATACATCTGTACACCTACTATATGATAATAAAAATAGCCCAGGACACCCAGGCACAGGTGGCACACCCCTATAATCCTAGCTACACAGGAGGCTGAGATCTAAGAATTGAGATTCAGAGCCAGCTCAGGCAGGAAAGACTGTGAGACTCTTATCTCCACCAAACTACCAAAAAAGCCGAAGTACAGCCGTGGCTCAAGTAATAGAGCACTAGCCTTGAGCAAAAAAAAGTTCAGGGCAGCATCAAGGCCCTGAGTTCAAATCCCAGGACCAGCACAAAAAGATAAATAAAATAAGTCAGGCACTGGTGGTTCACAGCTATAATCCTAGCTACTCAGGAAACTGAGATCTGAGGATTGCGATTCAAAGCCAGCCCAGGTGAGAAAGTCTGTGAGACTCTTATCTACAATTAACCACCAGAAAACTGGAAGTGGTGTTGTGGTTCAAGTGGTAGAGCACTCACCTTGAGCTGAAGATCCAGGGACAGGGCCTAGGCCCAGAGTTCAAGCTCCATGACCAACCAAAATAAATAAATGAATGAATAAAATAATTCCAGGACAGAAAATTTATTGGTAGGATTTTAATGAGCCTAAACATTCTGGAAAGGAAAATGTGTATAAAGCATAGAACCTACCAGTGTATTTTTAACTTTAGCCCCTGTAAGTCTGAGGAAATAAGGACTCATTGCAGTTGGCTGTCCATGAGGGATTGCTTCCTCGGATTCCCTAATGGTCACCTTATAGATAAGAATGTTGGAATGTTCACATCCAGCCAGTGTCCCTCTCCCTATAAGCATCCTCTTAAGCATCCCTGGACTATGTAACTCGTCAGACAAGGAGAGTTTTCTGTTTGCTTGTGGTGCTGGCATTGAGGACTTTAGGTAAGCACTTGCACTGCCCTGTATTCCCCACTTTCCTAACAGTGCAAATGCTATAGAACTGGTTATTACACTGTAATGGCAAGAAAGAGTCTGTGCATGTTCAGGACAGGTGCAGTCCTTTTTCTCCAGGTATTTTTGCTCCTAAGTTGGTTAGCTGGGCATTGTGTCATGTGCCTATGGTCCCAGCTCTTGGAGGCCTGAGGCTGGAGGATCGATCACTTGAGCCCAGAAAGATGAGGACAGCCTGGACAAAGTTGGTTGAATCCATGGTTGCAATACTCACAGTACAGAGAGTTGAATATAATAACACAAATTGGTGGTTCTGTTTAACAAAATGTAATGGGACACCAAAAAGCAATTACAAATGAAATTTAGAAGAAAATGGAGTACATCTTTTTAAGCTGATTCCACTGTTTTGAAATATTGGTGTGAATGTTTCGCTTTTCATAAATAATTTTAAGAATTATGGTCATAAAAATTTATATGACCCATTTGAGGTAGTGTGACAGGATGAGGTTATAAATTGGTATTATATGTTTTCAGAGAAAAGTGTTTCCCACTTCTTTCAGTCTTCAAGAAATAGATTTTGTTTTTTAGCCTTGTGCTGATGGCTCATGCCTATAATCCTAGCTACTCAGGAGGATGAGATTTGAGAGGCAGAAAGTGTGTGAGACTCTTTGGCTCCAGTTAACCACCAAAAAGCTGGAAGTGGAGCCGTGGCTCAAGTAGTAGAAAGCTAGCCTTGAGCAAGAAAAGCTCAGGGACAAGACCTATGCCCTGAGTTCAAGCCCCAAAACCAGCACCAAAAGGAAAAGGGGAAAAGGGGCGGAGCCAGAGGCCGCGTGGTTGTAATCCCATGGGGGGTTGGGGGCGGGAGGAGTGGGGGGGGAGGGGGGCAGGAGTCGAGCTAGCATGGCTGACCTCCCTTTCTCTGCTCCTCTTCGGCGTCATTTTGTCCTTTTTGCTTCTTTGATCCCTGCTCCTGGGTTAGGTAGGAAACATGAGCGCCAACAACTTGGATAAAAATGATGAGTTTGATGAGCAGTTGCGAATGCAAGAATTGTACGGAGACATCTATAACGATCCCAACGGAGAAACGGATTCTTTGGGGCCACAACTGACTGACAGTCCGTATGAATGGGACCAGGATAAGAAGGCTTGGTTCCCCCAGATCACTGAAGATTTCATTGCTGCCTATCAGGCTAATTATGGCTTCTGTAATGATGGTGCATCTAGTTCCTTCGCTTATGTCCAGGACTCCAATAGTAAGCCTGTAGAAGAACCTTCACAAAGAAAAATCCCTGAATCCACTGATTCCAAAAAGAAGGGAGAAAAAAGAAAGACCGACTCAGGATGGTTTCATGTTGAAGAAGACAAGAATACAAATGTGTATGTGTCTGGTTTGCCTCCCGACATTACAGTGCATGAATTTATACAGCTTATGTCCAAGTTTGGCATAATTATGAAAGATCCTCAGACAGAAGAATTTAAAGTTAAACTCTACAAAGATGACCAAGGAAATCTTAAAGGAGACGGGCTTTGCTGTTACTTGAAGAGAGAATCTGTGGAACTTGCATTGAAGCTTTTGGATGAAGATGAAATTAGAGGCTACAAGTTGCATGTTGAGGTGGCAAAGTTTCATCAGAAAGGGGAATATGATGCCTCAAAGAAGAAGAAGAAGTGCAAAGATTATAAGAAGAAGCTGTTTCTTCAACAAAAGGAGTTGGATTGGAGACCTGAGAGGAGAGCTGGTTCATCTCGGATGCGCCATGAGCGAGTCGTCATCATCAAAAATATGTTCCACCCTATGGATTTTGAGGATGATCCACTGGTGCTGAATGAGATCAGAGAAGATCTCCAAGTCGAATGTTCTAAGTTTGGGCAAATTAAGACACTCTTTCTCTTTGACAGGCACCCAGATGGTGTAGCCTCTGTGTCCTTTAGGGATCCCAAGGAAGCTGATGATTGTATTCAAATCCTTGATGGAAGGTGGTTTGGTGGCCGTCAAATCACTGCCCAAACATGGGATGGAACTACTGATTATCGGGTAGAGGAGACCTCAAAAGAAAGGGAAGAGAGGCTGAAAGGATGGGAAGCATTTCTCAATGCTTCAGAGGCAAACAGAGGCCTTCAGGGTCCAAATTCTGTCTGGGCTCCAAAAGTAAGGCAGCACCCAGACATGTCTAATGTGAATTCTCAAGAGGCTCCAACTGGAATGGCATTTATAGAACCTATTGAGAAATTTGAGAGGATAGAAAACGGGGAAGAATTTGAAGAAGCTACTTCAGGGAAGGATGCTAAAGAAGATGGGCCTAAGAAAGAGATGAAAGAAAGTTGCCCTTCTGAAGAGTCAAAAGAAAGCTGCCCCAAGACAGAATATAAAGTAGGGTGCCTAAAAAAAGGGCTTGCAGATAATTCCAAAAAGGAGGTAAGAGAAAATGGCTCCGAAAGAGAGTCTAAGAAGATAGTAAAAAAAGATTGTGTAGAGAATGGCCTTGCACAAGATTCTGAAGACAATGACCCCAACAAGGAATCCGAAGAACACAACCCCGACGAGGAGTTGGAAGAGGAAGACTCAGAGAAAGAATCAGATGTAGACCGCTCTGAAAAACAGTCTGAAGAAGGCTCCAAAAAAGGAATAGAAGAAAATGGCCTGGATAAAGATGCTGATGAGGATGGCTCTGACAAAGAATTAGAAGAAAATGGCACCGACAAGCCCAAATGTGATGAAGGTTTTGAGAGTGTGTTGGATGAGGAAGGCTCTGACAAAGATTCAGAAGAAAAGGAAGGAGGTATGTGTGAGGTTTTTGATGATGAGAAGGAGGAAGAAGGTGCAGATGAAAAAGAGGGTGAAGATTCTGATGAGGAAGAAGAAAAAGAAATCCAAATGAAAAGTTGAAGACTGAGATGAAAAAAAAGAGGAAGAAGATGCAGATCTAAAGGAAGATGAAGGTGACAGTGAGACCTTGTTTGAGGATAACAATTTCAGTGAGAAGTTACTTGATGAAGAGGAGGGTTCCAATAAGAAGTTGTTTGATGATTCTGATGAAAGAGGGACTGTAGTGAACATGAAGGAAGAAGGGTCTCGGTCTACAGGCAGCAGCTTTGTTCTCCTAGTGATGGTAACAGACGATGAAGAGGACAATGATGATATTTAATCCCTTTCACTGGCTTCTAGGGACAGCCCTCTATCTCCATCTGCCTGTGCTTCATGGTCATTACTAGTAGTGTTAGATGAACATGTACATAGTGGTAGGGCGCATAATGCATTATGTGTTGAATTTTTTATTGTTACCTATATCTCTTCCTTTAGATTTTAAATTTATCTTAACTGGGTTTTCAATCACCTTCATAGTTAAATTGCAAATAAACTGTCCTTTTATCGGATTTGTTAAATTCATGCAAAAGAATATTTTTTTAAAGTATTCTGATGGAAGTTTGTGGTTTTCAAAAATAAAAATAAGTTGATAATCTGCAGGGGGAAAAATACTTTTCATGTTTAAAGAAAGCCAGGAAGCCATCCTGTCTGCCCCTTAGGCAGGCATTGTTGGTCTTGGAAGAGCTTGTTGGCAGTGGGTATGTTAGTGTGATTCCTCCAAGAAAACTGCTAAGTACCTAAATGCAGGTTTGTTATGCTCAAGTGCTTGGTGTCTGAAGTGAACTTTTGTTTTAATCTTAGCATCCTGAATTACTTCCTTAACACATGAGATTAAGTTTCAGGGTGATTTCAGTTCAGAATTCCTGAGTTATCTATCTGTTATCTCCAGCTACCCATGCCACACTTAGAGAATAACCCTGTAGACAGATGGAAATGCAGTTAATGGTGGCATGCTCTCCTGTGCCAAGAGGAACTGAGATGCTAGTTTGTGCTTCTAGCATTTTATGGCTTATCCTCTGCCTACCCCACCCCCATGTGCTCCATTCCAAGTGTGGAAGTCTTCCAAGTAGGCTTTAACTATAAAAGCAGTCATGCAAGGAAATATTTAATTGTTTGTTTGTCTGCTTTTTAGCCCACTGACAAGGAACTGAGAGAGACCACAGCCTTGCTGGCAGCTCAGCAGACCGCTTTGGAAGTTATCGTCAACATGTGCTGCAGTGAAGGTTTGCTGGCAGCTTGCTCCTGCTCTTTTCTCCTGGGCTCAGGGCCACCTTCATAGGGGGAGGGGGGATCTTTAATACTCCATTATGTGTGGTTCCCACTCTTCCCAGATCCCTCAGATGATGAGTGGGAAGAGCTGTCGAGCAGCGATGAAAGCGATGCCTTCATGGAGACTTCCTTCACTGAGGATGGCGGGCAGCTACTGACCCCACTCTGCCTGTCCCACGAGATTCACACTGCTCTCACTAGCTGCCTTATCCCAAAGAAGGTAACTGGTGTTCACTCCAGGCTGGCGGAGCATGGGAAAGCTCAGCAAGCTGTTCCCTCATGTACCCAGGAAGTAGGCACAAACCTGCAGCTGCAGGTGATGGTACCACTGTGCACCAGACAGAACCAACAGTGCTGGGAAGAGATGAAAGGGTTGTGTCTGATCACTCCTAACCATTTCACTTGGAAGGAAGGTGCTGGAATTCGTGCAGAGATCTCATCTGAATTGACTTTTATTATTGTCCTTTCTCTAGGTATTTGAGAAAACTGCCTTTCCAAGCAGTGTCGCTGTTGACATATGCTCCCAGAGCCCTACTTGGAAACCTTTGATTAGAAAGTAAGAACTTTTCTGTTTTCAGAAACATGTCATTTTGTCCTATGAAGTAGAAAGTACTGTCTCCTGCTGAGACCCAAGTTTCTGTTCCTGAGTAGATGCCCTGGAGCAATGCTGGCTCTTGAGCATGAGGATCCACAGTGGCTCCAGCCTAAATGAGCCTTGATGTACACCACAGGTTGAATGGGTCAGTAAGTCTGATGTCATCATACAGCTTCTAAAAAGATGTGAATGAGCACCTATGCTCACCACAGGGATAAAAATGAGCAGGTGCACACTGTGACTCAGCCTTTATAAAGCTCATCACTAAACTAGGGATGCATACCTGGCTGGTGGCCCTGTAAAGATAAGCAAGGAGTTTATCATACAGGTCAGGGAGTGCAAGCTGAAGGGATGTGGGCTGTGAGGATCAGGTGCAGGTGTATGGGTGTTTGCTTTAAATTATTTGTTAAACTTTATGTGTGTGGATCTTTCATTCTATGTCTTGAGCTGGGCGCCGGTGGCTCACGCCTGTAATTCTAGCTACTCAGGAGGCTGAGATCTGAGGATCATGGTTCAAAGGGAGCCCGGGCAGGAAAGTCCATGAGACTCTTATCTCCAATTAGCCACCAGAAAACCAGAAGTGGCGCCATGACTCAAGCGGTAGAACACTCACCTTGAGCTGAAGAGCTCAGGGACAGCACCCAGGCCCAGAGTTCAAGCCAAAAGAAAAAACAACTGAAATTCCTCTAAGTTGGATTTCTTCATGGCTCCCGAACCAGTTCTCTATCAGGCCCTTTGAGCTCCTGCACTCCCTTGTACTTAGAGCTATTTTCACTCACAACCTGAAGCCTCAGTGAAAAGTTAACTCTGCACCAGCTATAGGGGCACACACTGTAGTCCCTGGTGGAGGCAGGAAGATCATGAGTTCTGGGCTACATGGCAGAAAAGAAAACAAAAATTAGTATGAAGTTCCAGTGGGTAAGTTGTAGAGAACAGACAGCATTGTTTTCTTCTTTGACAGGATGAACACTATACAGTGTAGAGCCCTTGTGTGCCTCCAAAGCCTAGTGTCCCTCTTGGATGTGGATCACCTGGGTGGAGCTCCGGCCCTTTACACACTTGCGCAGCACCTTTCAGACCTGCTGTTTTCGCAGCCAGGTAAAGATCTCAGCCTTCATTTGAAAGATTACTTGGACAGAACAGAGTTTTAAAGGGGCAGGAACTTGGACTTTGTTCTTGTGTGGTATTTGCCCTTTAATCTGCACAGTCTTTCCCCATACAATAACAAAGTTGCCAGTGTACTGAGTCAAGCTGAAGTGTGCCTTTAAGTCCTTGGGTTGGATTTTTCTTTTATTAAATTTGATACATACAATTATGTTAGTGCAATTAAGGCTGAATCATATCATGAAGGCCTCATTAAGTTATTTGGAGTGGGGTTAGGGATTTAGCGCAATGGAAGAGCACTTGCCTCGGTGCTGGAAAAAAATTTTTTTTGGATAGCCAGGCACTGGTGGCTCATGCCTTTAATCCTAGCTACTCCGGACACTGAGATCTGTGGATCATGCTTTAAAGCCAGCCTGGACAGAAAGGCTGTAAGATTCTTATCTCCAATTAACCACCAGAAAACCATAGGTGGCTCAGAATGGTAGAGTACTACTAGTCTTGAGCAGAAGAGCTCAGAGACAGTACCCAGGCCCTGAGTTCAACCCTCTGTCCGACCAAATAAATGTGTGTGTTCCCATAATTTTCAATTCTTAATTGTAAGAATGTAAGCAGGTTGCCAATGGCTCATGTCTATAATCCTAGCTACTCTGGAGGCTGATAGCTGCAGATCTGGGTTTGAAGCCAGCCTGGGCAGGAAAGGTCTTGAGTTTCTTATCTCCAGTTAACCACTGAAAAGCAGGAAGTGGTAGAGCATCAGCCTTGAGCAATAATGCTAAGGGACGGTGTCCAGGCCCTGAATTCAAGCCCCAGGACTGGTGCACACACACAAAAATTACTCATTACCTGACTTGAATAAATGTATCCTCTCTGTACGTCACCTTTATAATAACAAAATAAAAATAAGTAAAGGGCTGGGCCGGGCGCTGGTGGCTCATGCCTGTAATCCTAGCTACTCAGGAGGCTGAGATGTGAGGATCGCGGTTCAAAGCCAGCCCCGGCAGGAAAGACCATGAGACTCCTATCTCCAATAAACCACCAGAAAACCGGAAGTGGCGCTGTAGCTCAAGTGGTAGAGCACTCGCCTTGAGCTGAAGAGCTGAGGGACAGCGCTCAGGCCCAGAGTTCAAGCCCCACGACCGACAAAAAAAAAAAAAAAGTAAAGGGCTGGGAAGTGGCTTAGTGGGATAGTATTTGCCTAGCATGCACAAAGCCCTGGGTTCAATTCCTTAGCACCACATAAATAGAAAAAGCTGAAAGTAGTATAGTAGCTCAAGTGGTAGAGTGCTAACCTTGAGCAAAAAGAAGCTTAGGGATAGTGCTCAGGCCCTGAGTTCCAGTCCCAGGACTGGCTAAATAAATCAATAAATAAATAGTTAAAAAAAAAAAAAACAACAACCCAGTTTAAAAACAATTAAATTTGGTTGGATGATACATAGGAAAAAAATGTAAAAGTAATGAGAAGATGTAAAATTGATAGGTGCTTCCTTTGTCTTAGTTCCTCTCCCAGGTCACATCACTGTTAACCAAATTTATTTGCTTGCCAAGAGAGTCTCAACGATAAGAGAGGGGCTGGGAAGGTGGCTCAGTGGTAGAGCGCTTGCCTTGCATGCATGAGGCCTTGCGTTTGATTCCCCAGCATAAGCAAAAAGAAAAAAAGCCGGAAATGGCGCTGTGGCTCAAGTGGTAGAGCGCTAGCCTTGAACTGAAGAGCTGAGGGACAGCGCCCAGGCCCAGAGTTCAGGCCCCACGACCGGACCAAAAAAAAAAAAAAAAAAGAGAGACCCTACCTAGCATAGACAGTGATAGCGCAAATCCTCACACAGTTCTCTACCTTTTTTTTTTTTTGTGCCACCTTGCTTTTGTAACACGTCTTTCGTCAAATGCCTTTGCGTGGAAGTTACTGAATCTCTTAGATTACAGCTCCTATGGATTAATTTCATTTATGCTCAAAAACCTAGAGTGATTTTGTTTTTGTTTTTGTGCTTGTGCTAGGGCTTGAACTTAGGACCTTACTCTCTCCCTTAGCTTTTTCATTCAAGACTCGCACTCTGTCACATGAGCCACATCTCCATTTTTGTCTTTTTGCTGGTTAATTGGAGTATCATGGACTTTTTTTGCATGGAATGGTCTTGAACCTCAGTCCTCAAAATTCAGCCTCCTAAGTAGCTAGGATTATGGAATGAGCCACCAGCAGCAGGCCATAAATTTTATTTTTAATTTAAAAGTGTTTATATGTAGTTTCAGGCCACAATTTATAGGCCACAATTGCAAAAATACTAATCTAAGGGAGATGTGGTTACTATTTATTAAATCAAATTCATCAATCCAAACAAACAAAAACCAACTGATTTAATTGAGCTAAGAATAAACTGGGAAGCTCTTCAGACAGGATGGGCTCCATGAGGCTCTCTCAACATTATTTTTACATGACCCAGCCAGCCATACACAGTGTGGTGCAAGCTCCTCCACACTATCACGGAATTTGGGGGTCCCCTAATGCATTACCTGGAATCCAGGATCCCCTCATTCAGGCTTAGATCAGAAGGATCTCAGTTTCAGGCCAGCCCAGGCAAAAAAGTTTTTGAGACCTCATCTCAACAGAAAGGAGCATAAATAGGAGGATTATGTTCTAAGCCAGTCCAGTAAACAAACAGAATTCTATCTCAAAAATAACCAAGGCAAGCCCAGGGTCAGTTGCTCACGCCTATAATCCTAGCAACTCAGGAAGCTCAGATCTAAGGATTGCAGTTCAAAGCCAGCCTGGGCAGGAAAGTCTGTGAGACTCTTATCTCCATTAAATTATCAATAAAACCAGAAGTGGAGGCTTAAGTGAGAAACTCAGAATTCAGACCCTAGTACTGCCAAATATATATACTGCATAACTGACTATCTCATAGGATTTTATTATAAGAGAGTTCATTGTTATTCCAAAATAAATAACCAGGATATTACTTTGGGGGCCAGTTCTTACCTCCATTTCTCCAAGTATCAGTGTTAAGAGACACAGGAGGGCATAGGACACAGAACAGACCTGAGCAACATGGACATCCAAAGACATTGTAATGGCAATCCTTCTCCAGTAGTAATTTTCCCGTCTGCAATCCAATCCCTTTCATGTGTGGAGGGCCAATGAACATGTCCAGCCCTGGTCATTTATTGTGACAGTGGCTATAGAAGGTGATATCTATAAAAACAACATAGTGGCTTTCAAGACACATCAGAATGTTCTTAACCTAGCAGCATGTCACAAAAATGTGTTTCTTTCTTTTTCTTAAGATTATTTCAGTAGCCAGGAGCATAGGATTTTATTTAAAACTATCAAAGTGCAGGGCTGGGAATGTGGCTAGGTGGTAGAGTGCTTGCCTAGCATTCATGAAGCGCTGGGTTCTATTCCTCAATGCCATATAAACAGAAAAAGCCAAATGTGGCCCTGTGGCTCAAGGGGTAGAATGCTATCAAAAGAAGCTCAGGGACAGTGCCCAAGCCCTGAGTTCAGTCCTCAGGACTGGCAAAACAAATCAAAACAAAAATAAAACTATTACAAAGTGCTTAGTTACCCTGACCATAGTTCAGAAGCCATCCATCATTCTCCCAGGCTTCAGCTTGGTGTGGTCTCTGTGGCCCCAGCAGTCATGCCTGCAGAGGAAGCCACATGATCTGGGAGAAACATACCCAAGTGCTTCTGTATATAGCCGAAGCAAAGAACAGGTGCATTCATTACAGCAAAGAAGCCTTTCTGCTGGCTGGGGATAGACCCTAGGTACTGGGACTTCACTCACTGGGAAACGATTCAAAAGCAAGAGATGACAGCTATAGACCAGAGCTTGACAAAGTCAGCTCATGGCTGGCAGCACTTGGAAGCAGTTAGGAGATATGAGTGGGCCCTGCTCATTGGGACCCTGGCTGTAGATTCCTGTTTGACTCTGCTCCCTGCCTCAGACCACAGGAATGAGCGGATGGCTAGGGACATGAGCACTGAGGGCACCTCCTCCTAGTCTTGAGGGTATCAGGCTGGCTAAAGGGACAGAATGCCAGCAAAGGCCAGAATGACCCTCCCCTCCCCTCTCCTCCCCCATCCCCAACGTCTACACCACCTAAGTATGTTCCAGGTTCCGAAGAAGGTTCAGGGTGAGGGGGAAATGTGGCTGGTCATGATCAGGCCAGCCACCTCTGCTCCAATGGTCAGATTGTGCCAGCTACTCACTTTTATGGGCTTGAGTGAAATAAGATTCCAGACAATGTACTAGAGGGCCCAAATTTCAGGTAATGTACTAGGGGACCCTGGATTCCACAAAAATGTACTATGAGACCCCAGATACTAGACAATACTCTAGATTGGCAGACAGACACCATTGCACCTATTGGTTAGGATTACTGTCTCTCAGACTTTTCACCAGGGCTGAGATGCTCCAGTTTTGAGAGATGATATTCTAATACAGTCCTTTTAGACGCCTGTGATTTAGTTAGATGTAATTTTATGAGACTGTATGAATAATGTTTTTGGTGGATTTGGTGGGGAGGATGAGGCTAAATTGCTTGCCTTTTTTGTTAACTGTATTTGAAAGTTAAATGCATGAGACTTATACAGCTCTAATTTGTTTTATTTTTAATGCTAAAATACAGTTCTGAATAGTTATGAAGTTTATATGAGTCTCTGTACATGCCAACATTATGCTTCTGGCTAGCACCAGGGATAAAATGACAGATGTTTTAGTTTGATTCTTGCATTAAAAGCATCATTATCTTTTTCCCTCTTGTTAGGAGCTGTTGATTTTCAAAACACCTAATTTTCAATGATGTTGAATTCTCATTCTGTCAGTTGGGCTCCATTACATTGTTTAGGATTCGGTTTTCCTAGATTCTGGAAGTTGGAATCATTTTTTTTGCTATTGTTGGTATTGTAGTTAGAATGGTGGTATCCCATTCTGGGATATATTTTCTATTCCACATCAGGGTGTTAACAATCAATCTGAAAAATTCATTAGAGCATAATCTGCTGTCTGATTTGTAGGTTGACTATTTACTTACATTTAGGTGTGCTGCAGCTTCTTTGGTGCTATGTAATGTTCTCAGAAACTTTTTTGTTTGTTTTGGCAGTAGCATAGGATTTGAACCCAGGGTCTCCTGCATGCTAAGCAAACTCTGTTCTACTGCGCTATATTCCCAGCCCAGAAAGACATTTCAAATCTCACCCCTTTCTAACTTCTTTGAAGTATTTCCTCAATTTCTTAGGGAATGCCAGGTCTGCTGACCTGTTAACTGAAACTATATCAGGATGGGTTGAAGTATCTTTCTCAAACTTGGATGAATGACCAGAAATGTTTTCCTTGCCTAGATAAGGCTATAGGGTGAGACCTTGTCTCAAGAAAAACAATAGGGCTGGGAAGGTGGCTCAGTGGTAGAGCGCTTGCCTTGCATGCCTGAGGCACTGGGTTCGATTCCTCTGCACCACATAAGCAAAAAGAAAAAACCCGGAAGTGGCGCTGTGGCTCAAGTGGTAGAGTGCTAGCCTTGAGCTGAAGAGCTGAGGGACAGCGCCCAGGCCCAGAGTTCAGGCCCCACGACCGGACCCCCCCCCCCCCCCAAAAAAAAAAAGAAAAAGAAAAACTATAGTTTCTCACAATAGTTTTTTTTTTTTCCTTTGGGTCCAGCCCCAGGACCAACACAAAAAATAAATCAGTAAAAACAGCAGTAATTAATACTGTCTTTTATTATTTAGCCGGTCATTCATATGTCCTGTTCATTGAAGAAGTCACACATCACAACTAGATTCAAGGCGTGGGGGAACGGGCTTCCCCTTCTTTGTGGGAAGGGCAGGCTTCCAGAGCAGGGGACTGGCAGTGTTGCTGTGACCCTTTTGGAAGTTACAGTCGTAACACACCAGTGCTTTCCCTTCCCATTGAAGTGCAGGGATTCTCACTCACCCTTGCCAGTGACTACCTGCACCATCCCCTGTAACTGCTGCTCTGCTGCTCCTATGTGAGAAGAGGGTCAGTTGGAAAATGGATGAGGAGCTGGGGTGGGGTTGGTGAAGACCTGGGGGCAGGGCAGCCTAGACCCCTTGGCTGCAGCTCCTGGCTTGCAGTGGGCTAGGGTTGGCAAGAAGGCTGGCATGGGAGACAACTTAACCAGGGGGGCTGCCTAGTGCCATGATGGAGGTGGGTGAGACTAAGTTCCTGCACAGCAGGTGGCTCAGGCCCGTCCTATTCCAACGTGAGTCCAGTGAACACCACCACACTTGGGCAGGACATCTCCCCTGGTCATCTTTAGACTCCACAGCTATACTGTCCAGAGCTCTGTGAACTAAACATTGGCTTAAATATCAAGAATTTAAAAAAAATTAATCATAGCATATGCTAACATGTGGCATGCTTCCTTTAATCCAATTTTCTCAGAAGAGCTTGTCTTGGGAGAGAGAACTTGACTTGATCTTTGTGTTTTGTGGTAACTTTCTGTTTTAGGTTTTGCTGACCACCCGGACTTTCTGGAAGCCATAACTAGTGCCTTGAGGGCCCTTTTGCAAACAATGGCCTCTAATAACCTTCCCCAGGTAAGATTTTTGAAAACTACTTTGAAACTTGAAGTGTCTTCTTGTTGGAAGTGCTTCTGTGGCCATACAACTGGGTGTTGATTTTTTGGTTTTGTTTTCATTCCCTCTGGTTTTTTGAGACAGAGCCTCAGTATGCAACCTAGTCTGGCCTTGAACTCTCTGATCTTCCTTCACTCTGTCTCCCAAGTGCTGGGATTAAGAGCATGCACCATTAAGTCCAGCTAATTACTCTTTTTGATGCAAAAGTTGACCCATTTTAAACAAGAGGGTTTTTTGTTGTTGGTGCTGCTGTTTTTGTCTTCTGTTTGACTTGTTTGTTCCTTTATCTGTCTTTGGGAGGGCAAGGAGGGGGTACAGAAATGGAGGGACAAAGGGTGAACAAATGCAGCAGTGGGACTCATTAGACACTATATTAAAAATGAGCTATACAACTTGTGGGTAGGGACAGGAGGGAAAAACTGGGAGAGAGTGAGGGAAGGGGTGACATTGTCCAAAAATAAATGTACTATTTATCTTACATAACTGTAACCCCTCTGTACATCACCTTTACAATTACAATTTTTTTTTAAAGTTGACTCATTTTAGATAGTAGGAATCCTTTCAGGTTGGCTTCTATGTCTCTTGACATGGACCTTATGTCTGCGCCTTAGATTGGCTTTTTTTTCCCCAGTGCTGGGGATTGAAGCCAGAGATTGAGTTAGTTTGTTTTTATTTTGTTTTGTTTTGTATTCCATTCTGGGAATTTTTGCTGTTGTAGTTGTTGTTGTTACTGTGCAACAAAATGGATGCCGTTGACTTCATGCTAGCATGTTCTCTATGATTTAAAAGCTTCTTTGTATATTTGAAAATTGTGTGTGTGTGCGTGTGTGTGTGTGTGTGCGTGTGCGCGCGTGCGTGCGTGCGTGCGTGCGTGCGTGCATGCGCTGGTCCTGGGGATTGAACTCAGCTTGGTGCTGTCCCTGAGCTTATTTTTGCTCAAAGCTAGCTCTCTACTGCTTGAGCCACAGCTCTACCTCTGGCTTTTATTTTTTAAAAATTGTAATAAAGGTGATATATAGAGGCGTTACAGTTGAGAATTCTTTTAGCATAATTGTTAGCCTTCTCTTTCTGTGAAATGAAAATGATAATAACACATAGCTTGCCATGTGGCTGTAGAGCCTATAGAAAAATATGGTATTTTTGCTTATTTTCTTTCTTTCTTTTATATGTCAGTTATAGGGCTTGAACTCAGGGCCTGGGGCACTGTCCCTGAACTCTTTTGTTCAAGGCTAATACTCTACCACTTTGAGCCACAGCTCCACTTCTGGTTTTCTGGTGATTAATTGGAGATAAGAGAGAGTCACTAGCGCCTGGCAATGCCCAGGCGGACTTTGAATTGCAATACTCAGATCTCAGCCTCCTGAGTAGCTAGGATTATAGGCATGAACTACTGGCACTAGCTTTTGCTCTTATTTTCTGTGGCATGCGGGGAGCAGTTACTGGGCCTATCTGCTAGTTACAGAAAACTACTTGAGCCAGGTGTGGTGATGAATACCTGTAGCCCTACCCTTAATCCCAGCAGAAGGATGGCAAGTTCAAGGCCAGCATAGGTTGCACAGCAAGACCCTGTCTCAAAAAAGAAAAACAATTAGTTAAAGCTGTGCTCAGTTAGAAGTAACTGTTCATGTATGTTAGAGCTAACTGTTCATGTATGTTAGAGGGAACTGTTCGCGTATGTTAAGATTCTGGCTCCTCAGGCTCACTATATCATAGGTGTTAAGAACTCAGTTTCTTTAGCCTTGAGCAAAAGAAGTTCAGGAACAGTGCTCAGGCCCTGAGTTCAAGCCCCAGGACTGACAAAGAAAAAAAAAAAGAACTCAGCTCCTGGCTGGGTTATGTGGCTTAGTGGTAGGGTGCTTGTCTTGCATGCATGAATTCCTTGGTACCACATAAACAGAAAACGTCAGAAATGGCACTGTGGCTCAAATGGTAGAGTGCTAATCTTAAGCACAAAGAGGCTCAGGGACAGAGTTCAAAACAAAACTCAAGTATCACACTAGTGGGATAGTGTGGAACTCAGGACCTGGCTGCCGCTTCCCTAGCTCTTTACCTTGCTGGCTCATGTGCATTCGGTGACTTGTTTGCGTTCTGGTAATACTGCAACATACCTGTGATTCACCATAGTTACTGCAGAATTTTCTTTGTGGGTAGTGTTGGGGTTTGAACCCAGGATCTTCTGCTTACTAGGCTGATGCCCTACCACTAAGCCGCATGCCCAGCTCAGCCCTATCATTAGAGTATTTCCTGGGAAATCTGGCACCATCAGCTGTTCCTTCTCATTGGGCAAAAGCCATGCAGAAGATTCAGAAATAAGTAAAAGGCAGATACTGAGTTTGAGTCTCAATCTCTGACCTAAAATAAAGAAAAGAAAGAAGTTTAAGGGTTTACAAATACTCACTGCCATTAATACCAGTGAATGTTTTGTGTGCACTGTTGGATCCATGTAGCTCTTTGTGGATATCTGTGGCCCTGCCCTCCTGTGCAAAGTGGATAACATTTAGAATCAAGTAACCTGTGCTGGAGTGCCAAGAGGTCCAAGCATAGCTGGGATTTGAAACCTGGAAAGTCTGGCTCTATACTATCTTTTTTTTTTTAATCTTTGTTCAAGTCTGAGATTCAGACTCACTACCTGACACATTTACTCATTGGCTAGTGCTCTACTAATGAGCCATGCCACCAACCCCTGACCATCTTTTTCTCGTTGCTCTGTGCTGCTGGTTAGAGGTCATGGCCAGGCAGTGCAACATTCATGGAACTTGCTTCTAAACTTGTGCACAAATTAGCTCAAGCTGAAAATTACCACCACATAGCACTATATAACTTGATGATTTTTACGATCTTTAGTAACTTACACAAAAACATCTCAAAATTCTTACATTATTTGCACTCTACTTTTGTATATGTGTGTGGTAGTCCTGGGGCTTTAACTTGGGGCCTAAGTGCTGTCTACTACTTGAGCCACAGCTCTACTTCCAGCTTTTAGGTGATTAATTAGAGATAAGAGTCTTACAGACTTTCCTGCCTGGGCTGGTTTCAAACCAGCCCTGAGATGTCAGTCTCCTGAGTAGCTAGGAATATAGATATGAGCCACCAGCACCTGGCTACACAAAGGCTACTTTCAAAACTTTATTTTTTGTTTTGATGGTTCTGAGGTTTGAATTGAGGGCCTTGTGCTTGCTAGACAAGCAGTCTACCACTTGAACCATATCCCCCAGCCCTTTTTGCTTCAATTACTTTTCAGATAGGGTCTTCTGCTTTTTACTGAGCTGGCCTCAGACTGAAATCCCCCTATCCTACATCCCCTGCATAGTAGGATGACAGGTGTGTACCACCATGCCCAGCCAATTTGCTGTGATTAGTTCTCATTATTTTTTTTCTGGGCTGGACTCCAGTCACCATTTTCCTCCAGAGTAGCTGGGATTATAGGCATTAGCCACCTTACCCAACTATATGTTCAAACCTTCATGATCAATATAAAACAGAAGTGGAATCTGTTTTGTATATGTACATCTGAAATGAAAGTCTTCAAATGAAACTAATAGGACTTAAAGCTCCTTAAATATTGGATAGTAACAAGTGACATGAGAAGGACTCATCTCAGCTCAGAATACTTAAGTTCTCTGCCAGGTGCTCACTCTGTCTTTGGCCTCATACAGTAGCCCATAGAAGAGATGGCTGGCTTTCATTTGCCATTGGAATGGTGGGGTGTAACACTGTTCATATGCCCCCTTCCTCTCAACAGTGCATGACACCCGAGCAGCTGATGACACTGTGCAGAGCTGGCATTGGGAGCAGCAATGTCGGGGTTCGAGTGAACGTTGTCAGTATTTCAGGAATCACTGGCAGCATGCTGGCCAAAGAAAGTGGGACACTTGACACTCTTAAGGTAAAACAGTTTGCTCCCAGAATGGATGTGAAATACTGGAATACTGGGGAAGAGGGGAAGAATTGGCACAAGTTTCTAATGCTTGTGCGGGCCCCATGAGAAGACACTAGCAACAAGTTGCTGAAGGTACTTTCGTACAAGGATCCCTTTGGGGTGATCTAATGGCAGGTGTAAATAAGTACTTTAAACTTAAGCCTCATTTTTGCCATTTAACTACCTGAAATGCTTTCTGTGTGTGTGTGTGTGTGTGTGTGTTCCATTAAGGGCTGATTGTCACTTTAATGGAACAGTAACCTCTTCTCAACTATACAATTTGTAAATCTTGTTTTCTAAGCATGTAAAAGGTAGTAACCACTAAGTTTGTGCCCCATAACAGATCAACAATTAATGTCTATCTGTGTACTTTATGGAGTTTCTCTTCTGGGTATGTAAGTAAATTACAGACCTGGCATTTTCCCCTATCAGTTTAATTGTGTCTATTATAAATAGGGACAATATTTTACTTGACTGCCATTGTTATGCCTTCTGCAGCTGTCATTTCTTGATGTGTCTACTTCCTAGTCCATTCATAAGCTCCCAGTTGGATCCAGTCTCCCTCCTTGTGGGTGGTTTAAATCAGGAAAGCCAGGGATTCTGCCTGGGTTGGGATTGTATGCATCTTTCTCTCTTGACCTTGGGTATCCCCAAACCACCTGTTTGTCCTTATCGTCCAGATCAGCACCCCGCAGACTGTGCAGCCTTGTGGATCTGTCTGACTGCTTCCTTGTGGTTGTGGGCTTCTTCCTCTGTCCTTTCTACTTCCTGCCAGCTGGAAGCTAGATGTAAAGGCTGGATTTGATTGAGAGCCAAGGATTCAGATCCTTGTTTGAATAAGACTACCTCATAGGTAGTGCTGTGTACTTTCAGTTATATTCTGGAAGAGAAAAATCAGGGCCCAGAGAGCTTAACCAACTGGCCAGGGATCACCCTATTCCTTAGCCACATGACCTAGCTGCACATCACCCAGAGATGCTGGGAGGCAGAGCAGCCAGGCTACAGAAGGTTACTCTGCACCTTTACATCTTGAGAATGCTCTCGTTAGCTCTGTGGGGCTGGGGACTGGGGGTGGGGGTATCAACCAAGATGGTGAGGCAAAATTGCTGGGTTCATTTACTGGTTTTCATCTACTTTTGAAAGCAGATTTCGTTGTTACAGGTAAGATTTCTGTGCCTTGAACACTATACAGAAGCCTTTTCAGGGAGTTCTAATATTTCCAAAATCAATTTTTCCAATGTTATTGTGGATCTTAATTCACTTTATTTAGGAATGTAAAGTATAATACTCTTCTGTTATGTTAGTATGTTTATAAGTATTTGTAAGGTCTTAGTTCTTTAATAAGTTATCATTTCTGCTGTATCATTTCTGTATGAAACAGGATGATAGCAGGATTAGAATGTACAATGATAGCAGGTTACCTGTGTGTGTTGTTCCAGACCATTGGGTGCTTTCTGCTTGAGGTCGCCACCAAAGACCCTTCCCTCGTGGTTGTAGGAGAAGCTCTGGATGCCCTCTTTGATGTCTTTGCAGATGGGGAGGAAGCTGAAAGGGCTTCAATCCAAATAAAATTGCTATCTGCTCTCAAAGAATTTCAGCCTGTCTTCAAAACGAAGGTTTGTAGCTGCTTTGCTTGTAGATGCACAAGTCTGAGTGTTCTCCAGGGAGGGGGTATAATTCCTACCCACAGCTAAGCACATGTGTAGACTGCAGCAGCCCCTGTAAGTGTCAGTGATTACCAGAGCACTTTATCCCAAATGCTTGCTCACTGAGTTATAGATCTGCAATGATGCCCAATCTTTGGAATTGGAGCCAGATTGGCATTTGACCAGCTCCTTGTACTCTACCAGTGCTTTATGTATGTGAATGCCATGACCTGTACCCACCAAGCACTTTCATGTAGTACATCTGAGCTACAGCCCAGCCTCTGAAGAACTCAGAGTCTGGGTACTGTCCCTCAGCTTTTTGTTTGCTCAAGACTGGTACTTTACTACTTGAGCCATGCCTCCACTTAGGCTTTTTTTTCCCCCCAACTCCTAACCTTTTGAATAAGAAGACTGGCCCACCAATCCGTTTTGTAGCACACTTTCCAAATGTTTCTGTTGCACCCTAAAACTTCACCTTTGCTGGAGTGCCATAAAATTCATTCTTTTAAAGTATGACTCCACCAGGCCTCATGTCTCTAGCCTGTAAAGCTACTTGTGAGGCTGAAATGGGAAGGATCAAAGTTCCAGGCCAGCTTAAGCAAAAAATTGGGGAGATCCCATGTCAACAGAAAAGGCTGGGCATGGTGGCATGCGCTTGCCATCCCAGTTACAGTGAGAAGCATAATTAGAATTGTGATCCAGGGTGGCCTAGGCAAAAAATAAGCGAGCAAGAAAACAGACGGGGACAGAGCTCAAGTGGTAGAGTGCCTGCCTAGCAAGTCCTACCAAAAATTAATCAATAAAAGGGTGCACATTCTAAATATATCTTTATTCTTTGTATTTCATTTAACTTGGGAGTAAAACTGTTTCACCAAATTCTTGAAGTCTTGGGTGTAAAATAGTTACATATGCCCCAAATTAAATACTTACTTTATTTAAATGAATTTGTGATAGATACCAAATTGCATACTTTTTTTTTTTTGAGCAGATACGAAAGGAAGGAAGAGGTAAATACAGTCCAGATCAGCTGTGTGTTCTTGACAATGTGAAGATGAACTTGAGAAGGTTTATTGCTTATCAAGAAACTGTGGAGAAAAGACTGACTTCCTGAAACATCAGAAGAGACTCAAGACTCTCTCCTGGGAGCATGGTCAGAGGTGGAATGCTTGTGTATGATGTGGGAAGGCCTGGGTCTGTCCCCAGTGCCACAAAAAGAGACCAACTTCCCAAAGGAGTTGGTGCTGCAAATACATGCTTCCAAAAGCTCTTGGAATGCTCGTACTTTGAACTTTAATTTGAAGTTCATTTAAAAAAAAAGTAAAACCTGTAAGAAACATGTGTTTGGGCTGTGGGTTCTGTGCATTTGTCTATGTGTCTCCAGCAAACTTCATTCCCCGGGAACAAAGTATTTTTTATGCACACACTCTACTCTGAACCACATACCTGGCCCACAGCTGGTTCCCAACCACTTCCTGGGCAGTAAAGACATTTTCAACAATCATGCCCTTGAATTTTGCAGTACAGCAAAGTCTCAATCATTACCTGGGTACTTTTTTAAGCCACAAATTTTTTTTATTAGCTGAAACTAACTGAAATATACAGTCCTGAAGTGCTATATACTATTGTGAAGAAGTAATTGAATTTATTTGTATCACTCAGGGGCTGGTACTGATGAGCTACTGAGGTGACAGTAATCTCATGGTGACATGATCAATCACTGCCTTGATTTAATATGGTATAGAGTCAGAATTATAGAACATATTTTGAATAAATAACATTTTCACTAAAAGCTTTGTGTCTTATAAATTCCTTTTTTTGTAATACTACACACACCTATTTCTGGGTGGCCTGCCTCACCTGTGTGTAAAGTATTGGAAAATACTTCAAGAGTCCTAAAAGTATGAGGTAACAACTAGCTTACAGCAGAAACTTTCCTGCCCAACGTGGCGCAGTGGTAGAGCGCTTGCTGTGCATGCATGAGGCCCTGGGTTCGATTCCTCCGCACCACATAAGCAAAAAGAAAAAAGCTGTAAGTGGCGCTGTGGCTCAAGTGGTAGAGCGCTAGCCTTGAGCTGAAGAGCTGAGGGACAGTGCCCAGGCCCAGAGTTCAAGCCCCACGACCGGACCATGGTTTGCTCCATTGTCCATTAGTTGGAAGAACTGTCCATGGAGATTTGAATTTTCCACACAATCGGTCTCAGTTGTCTTGATTAAAAGACAAATATTTGATTATTTTAGTGCTAGGGGTTGACCTAGGGCCTTGCTCACACTAGGCAAATGCTGTACCACTGAACTAAATCTGAGACTTCTATCTCCAATTAATACCAAAAATTGGAGCAAAAAGCCAGAAGTGGATGTATAGCTCAAGTGGTAGAGTGATAGCCTTGAGTGAAAAAGCCAAGCCAGAATGCAAGCCTGAGTTCAAGCCCCAGTTCCAACACACACACACACACACACAGAGGCCAAAAAAAAAAAGATGTATTGAGACTTGTTTCATCATCTGCAGTTGGGTAGTGTTTTTAGATGTCAGTTAACATTGTGTCCAGGATGCAAATTTTTTTGAGACTTTTTCTTGGTATGTAAGTCCTGCCCCACCAATGTAAGGGCTGAGATTACAGGCATGAGCCTGCTCAATCTGGAGTACAACTTGTGCGTGTATGTACCATTTCTGGGCTTGAACTGGAGCTCTTAGCTTTTTTTGCTCAAAATTGGCCCTTTACCACTTGACCCACACTTCCAGCTTTTTGGTGGTCACAGAATAGATTTTCACAGACTTTTTTGGCCTGACCTGCCTCCAAACCACAATCCTCAGAGATCTTAGCCCCCTAAGTAGCTAGGACTGCAAGTGTGAGCCACTGGCTCCTGGCAAAGCAGTGATATTTCTTTCCTTAAGCAAACACATAAGAGGTGGAATACTTGAAAACAGCTTTGGTGAGAAACAGAAGTGGCTTTAGTAAGCCCTTACCTATCGCTAATTCCCTTGAATATAAGTGGAAGAAATTCCCATTATAACACGAGTGAATGAATGGATTAAACATATAAACCCAAATATGCATTGCTTACAGAAAACACACTTTACCTCTAGGGATAGAGACAGGAAAGGGAGGCATGGAATAAGATCTTTCCTGTGAGCGTTGCACAAAAGAAAGCAGGACTAGGCTAGAGCCAGTGGCTCACGCCTGTAATCCTAGCTACTCAGGCTGAGATCTGAGGATTGCCGTTCAAAGCCAGCCCAGCAGAAAAGTCCGTGAAACTCTTATCTCCAAGTAACTACCAGAAAAACAGAGTGGCACTGTGGCTCAAGTGGTAGAGCACTCACCTTGAGCTGAAGAGCTCAGGGACAGCACCCAGGCCCAGAGTTCAAACCCCCTCCCCCAAAAAAGGGGTGGGAAGGTGGCTCAGTGGTAGAGTGCTTGCCTCTCATGCATGCGACCCTAGGTTCGATTCCTCAGTACCACATAAACAGAAAAGGCTGGAAGTGGTGCTATGGCTCAAGTGGTAGAGCACTAGCCTTGAGCTGAAGAGCTGAGGGACAGCACCCAGGCCCCAAGTTCAGGCCCTATGACCGACACAAAAAAAAAGGAAAGAAAAAGAAAGCAGGACTAGCCCAACTTCTTCAGATAAAACACTATAAATCACAAGCAGTAAAATAAGAAGCTGGGCGCTGGTGGCTAAGGCCTGTAATCCTAGCTACTCAAGAGGCTGAGATCTGAGGATCGCAGTTCAAAGCCAGCCTGGGCAGGAAAGTAACTCATCTCCAATAAACCACCAGAAAACTGGAAGTGGCGCTGTAGCTTAAGTGGTAGAGCACTAGCCTTGAGCTGAAGAGCTGAGGGACAGCAAGAGCTGAGGGACAGCGCTCAGGCCCAGAGTTCAAGGCCCACAACCAACCAAAAAAAAAAAAAGACAAGAAAGGTCCCTATATAATGATAAAACATGATGAGAAACCTGGGCACCAGTGGCTCATGCCTATAATCCTAACTACACAGGAGGGCTTAGACCTGAGGATCACAGTTCAAAGCCAGCTTGGGCAGGAAAGTCCGTGAGACTCTTATTTACAATTAACCACCAGAAAACCAGAAGTGATGCTGTGGCTCAAGTGGTAGAGTGCTAGCCTTGAGCTGAAGAGCTCAGGGACAGCACCCAAGCCCAGAGTTCAAGCACCATGACCGCAACAAAATAAAGGAAGGAAAAGAAAAAGAAAAAACTGGAAGTAGTGCTGTGGCTCAAGTGGTAGAGCCTGTGAAACTTTTTTTTTTTTTGCCAGTCATGGGGCCTGGACTCTGGGTCTGGGTGCTATCCCTCAGCTCTTCAGCTCAAGGCTAGTGCTCTACCACTGGAGCCACAGCGCCACTTCCGGCTTTTTCTGTTTATGTGGTGCTGAGGAATCGAACCCAGGGCCTCATGCTTGCAGGCATGCACTCTACCGCTGAGCTACCTTCCCAGCCCCGACAGATTCTTTTTTTTTTTTGGTCCAGTCGTGGGGCCTGAACTCTGGGCCTGGGCGCTGTCCCTCAGCTCTTCAGCTCAAGGCTAGCGCTCTACCACTTGAGCCACAGCGCCACTTCCAGCTTTTTTCTTTTTGCTTATGTGGTGCTGAGGAATTGAACCCAGGGCCTCGAGCATGCAAGGCAAGCACTCTACCACTGAGCCACCTTCCCAGTCCCTGTGAAACTCTTATCTCCAATTAACCACCAAAAATCCAGAAATGGAGGTGTGGCTCAAGTGATAGAATCCCAGTCTTGAGTGACAAAAGCAGGGACAGTGCCCACACCTTGAGATCAAGCACACATAACACATCTTGTTCTGAACTAGATTGCTTGAGGCCTCTGGCTTTATGGCCAGCTCTCTAAGACACTGAGGGCCCCATGACAGGCAGAATAGACAGAATCTTGTCCTGCACAGAACTTGTGGGACTAGTACCATGAAGAAGGACTGCCAGATGCTTTGAGGCTCTAGAAGAAGCTTATCCTGGTTGGAAAGGTCCAGAAGGCTTAGTAAGGAAGCAGGAATCGTTTTCAGTAAGAGAACAATGTGTGCAAAGATCCTGGGGCCATGGGGAGTGAGGCAAGCTGAAGGAGTCAGAAGAAGCTCCAGGGCCTCAAACAGTGTTACATCATTAAAATTACTGGGAAAGTGAAGTCCTTAGAAGTGAACCAGCCAGATGATTACAGGCCACTTATGAGGTAAATGGGTTTGGTTCAGTGTAGTATAGACCTTGGAGGCTCCAGCAGCAAATGCTAACAGACTAATTCCACACAGGAGGAATCAGTAAGACAGGAAAGTGCTTAGGTGGACTCAGTTCTATGTCTTACACCATGTGGTGGCTGGTGGTATATTCACCAGCATGGGAAATTCTGGAAGAGGATCAGTCTAGGGAAAAAGCTGATTGATTTTCAATGTTCCTATATCAGAGAAATATTCTAAGATGTTAAGTTTAATTACAAAGAGAGTAGAGGGGAAAGAGATAAAGGACATCAGCTGTTTAGAATATGCAGAACCTAGGCACTGGTGGCTCAGGCCTGCAATCCTAGCTACTCACAAGTCCGGGAACTTGAGAATCTAGGTTAGAAGCCATCCTAGAAAGGAAGGGTATTGAGACTCTGTCTCCAAAATAACAAAATACTGGACTGGAGGTGGGCCTCAAATGGTAGAGGTGTGAATAAGCAAGCCAAGAGAGTAAGTAGTTAGGGCCCTGAGTTCAAGCCATGGCACAAAAAGAAAGGAAGGAAAAATGGTAGAAGGGAAACAGAGAGGAAAGGAGGGTCTGTAAGGTGGGGGGGGGGGGGGACCTTGACCCTGATTTAGACCAACAGGGTCACCACACCTGTTTGTCAAGAAACTCTGCAGACCTTTAACCCAACCACAGTGAAAGAACACTATCTTCTACCACCATCCCCTTCTCTAAGTTGCCTATTCTGTGTTATCTACAGCCAATGCAGGGCTGGGCATTGCAGGTCCAGGGCACATTTGCTGCTCAGAGGTGCTGCTGCTGCTGCTCCTGGAGAGCCTACAGAAAGTTGCCCCAGGACCGGGTTCCCCCTACCCTGCAGACATCCAGAACAGCCACCAAGACCTTTTATTGCAGGGCTGCCTTGGGTCTCAAGAGTTTGGGTTTGCTATGGGCTAACATGATTTAGAGCACAAATACTAGAAACTGTGAATCCACTTCTGTCCACTGTAATGACTGTTATGTCATAAAGAATCCAGTGAGAAGATTCGATCTGGCTCACACAGAGGCTCAAGCACATCATCAAGCCCGTGTTCTCTCCAGGGCTTTGTTACGCGTTCCTTTACATTTAGGCT